ACTTAAAAAACTAAATTCTCCCAAAACTAATGAACCAATAAAGAAATGGGCAAGTGAACTAAACAGAACTTTCTCAAAAGAAGAAATTCAAATGGCCAAAAAAACACATGAAAAAATGCTCACCATCTCTAGCAATAAAGGAAATGCAAATTAAAACCACACTAAGATTCCACCTCACCCTGTTAGAATAGCCATCATCAGCAACACCACCAACAACAGGTGTTGGCGAGGATGCGGGGAAAAAGGAACCCTCTTACACTGTTGGTGGAATGTAAACTAGTACAACCACTCTGGAAAAAAATTTGGAGGCTACTTAAAAAGCTAGACATTGATCTACCATTTGATCCAGCAATACCACTCTTGGGGATATACCCAAAAGACTGTGACACGGGTTACTCCAGAGGCACCTGCACACCCATGTTTATTGTGGCACTATTCACAATAGCCAAGTTATGGAAACAGCCAAGATGCCCCAGCACTGACGAATGGATTAAGAAAATGTGTATCTATACACAATGGAATTTTATCAGCCATGAAGAAGAACGAAATGTTATCATTGCTGGTAAATGGATGAATTGGAGAACATCATTCTGAGTGAGGTTAGCCTGGCTCAAAAGACCAAAAATCGTATGTTCTCCCCATATGTGGACATTAGATCAAGGGCAAACACAACAATGGGATTGGACTTTGACACATGATAAAAGCGAGAGCACACAAGGGAGGGGTGAGGATAGGTAAGACACCTAAAAAACTAGCTAGCATTTGTTGCCCTTAACGCAGAGAAACTAAAGCAGATACCTTAAAGCAACTGAGGCCAATAGGAAAAGGGGAACAGGTACTAGAGAAAAGGTTAGATCAAAAAGAATTAACCTAGAAGGTAACACCACGCACAGGAAATCAATGTGAGTCAACTGCCCTGTATAGCTATCCTTATCTCAACCAGCAAAAACCTTGTTCCTTCCTATTATTGCTTATACTCTCTCTTCAACAAAATTAGAAATAAGGGCAAAATATTATGCTGATCAAATTAGTGCTGGGTATTGAGGGGAGGAGGGGGGGGGGAGAGGGGTGGAGGGAGGGTGGGGGGGCAGGGGGAGAAATGACCCAAGCCTTGTATGCATATATGAATAAAAAAAAAAAAAGAAATACCATACCTTCCAGAAATAAAAGAAATGAAAATATGTCTTAGTAAGACTATTTGAATTTATAGACAAAATAGGTTCATGTTTTGCCGGGCATGGTGGTACATGTGGTAACCACAGCACTCTGGGGGTTGAGGCAGGAAGATCACCAGTTCAAGGATAGCCTGGGTTACACAGTCAGACCCTGCCTGGGGGAAAAATAAATAAATAAAAGAAAATGATCTGGAGGAATTGCTCAAGTGTACGAGTGCCTGCAGGAAGCACAGCCCTGAGTGAAATGCCAGTCAATACACATGGGGTGGGGGGGGGAAGAACTAAAACGGAGGCAGGAAGATCACCAGTTCAAGGATAGCCTGGGTTACACAGTCAGACCCTGCCTGGGGGAAAAATAAATAAATAAAAGAAAATGAGCTGGAGGAATGGCTCAAGTGGTACAGTGCCTGCCAGGAAGCACAGGCCCTGAGGTGAAATCCCAGTCAATACACATGGGGGGTGGGGGGGGGGAAGAACTAAAACGGAACACAAATGGAATCTGTGTGTGCTTTGGCAGTACTGGGTTTGGACTCAGGGCCTTATGTTTGCTAGGCTGGAATTCTCCCACTGCCTCTCTGCCAGGCCTTTTTGTGCTGAGTATTTTTGAGATATGGTTTTGAGAACTATTTGCCTGGGCTGGTTTTGAACTGAGATCTTCCTGATCGCTGCTTCCTGAGTAGCTAGGATTACAGGCTTGAGCCACTGGCACCTGGCCAAAACCTGGGTTTTAAATAAACAACCACACTAAAACATATTTAAAAAAAACCAAATAAGTAGCATTTCAACACATTATTTCAAATATGTACTCTGAGATTAAAGAAAAAAAGAATTATAAATGAATACTGAATTCTAGCTGAGTTGTTCTCTTACAGTGGTATCTTTCAGTATATTCTACTGAGAAATATAGATAAGCATATTAATGATAATAGGAGCCAAGTTCCTTGCTATTGGAGAAAGAACTACAATTATGAAGAAGCAGGACTGTAAGGAGGCCTGTAGTGTGGAGAATTAATAATGACTGGAAATTCTTGGACATTTCCATCAAGAGATGGGATCTATTCCTCTCTCTGTTGAACCTGTAACTAATAGAGTGCACAATAAAAGAGCTGGTGGAGTGGCTCAAGTGTCAGAGCACCTGCTTAGCAAGCATGAGGCCCTGAGTTCAAGCCCCAGTGCTGCCCCAAAAAACCAAAAACAAACTTTGGGATGCAGCAATACATGCTGGGAAAAATTAGAAGTGCTATTTACACATAAGTATAGAAAAATATAGATGTATGTGGATTCTGTCTACTGAGAACCTAGAAGCCACAGACATAGCCCTAAAACTTGATTTCTAAGCTCTACTCTTCATTAAAAGAAACCAGGGATCTTTGGGAAGATGGCTGATTCCATGGCTAAGGAAAATACAAGTTGAACCTAGAATATCTTCTTATGACAGAGTGTCAGGTGCTTTACTGCTTCTCAGTTCCAAAAGTATCCTTCATTTTCTTGCTAGAGATGCTAGAAGCTAGATCCTATAAGCATTTTCTCCTTGACCAAGTGGTAGTGTCAAGCTTTATCAGCAGATGGTATAAAGGGACTGCAGAAGGAAGGGGTTTTTCTCCATAGTTTTGCTGTTTCTTTTTCTTATTGTTTGTGAAGTGCTTGGCCGGTATGCTGCACATACACTGGTGCTCATTCTAGTGAGTTTCAAAGCACCTTTAGGGACAGCAAGTTCCATGGCACTTCCAAGTGAGTTCAACAGCTACTCCGGGCAGCCTCCTGCAGTCTTATCAGCTCTTCAGAGAGGCAGTTTGTGCTTGCCAGCCTTGGCTCCAGCACCACAAGTCCGCCTGGTATCCAGTGGACTATAGCCACACCTTTCCCAGTGAAGTTTCTCAATCCTCTCCATAAAGAGTGGATTCCCATATCCTTTAAAGTTCTGTTGACTCTTTAGAAGCCAACCCGTTACTAACCTTTCCTGTTCAAATTACCATGTGATTTCTGTCTCTTAAGATTAGCTAGAGAAAGTACGACAGTACTTCAAGAATGATAAGAACATATAAAACACAGGAATAAGCTTCCAGGCACTCCGACTGGTAAAATGTGAGGACATCTGAATGCTGAAATAATCAATGATAGCAATGGATTATAAACCACTGGATGAATGTGAACCCATGACTTCAACCAATATAAATAAAGAAGAAGAAACTTTATCACATAGTAAAATGCCAATAAACAGGAAAAAATGAGTAACGAAGCTAGAAAATCACCACTTGTGGCTTCTGTGATGTTGTGCTAAGAAGAACACACATAATTTCTGTGGTATTCCTGCCAAAATTGCATAATTTTAATATAATTTAATTGGTTTCCTTATTTTCATTTTTGCTGCCTTATTCGTCATTTTTAACATTCTTCTACCCAAAATCCTGCAGAATATCCCTTTTACTCTTTTAGGTTGACTGAAAAGTGGAAGATAGTGAGAACAAGAGCAAGTATCTTAGGCCATTAGATAGAAGCCCTTCATTCAGAATGGCTGAGCAATACAGGAGTACTGATCCCTGGGACCAGTGAGTCCCTGTATCAGCCAAAAACTGCTTATGCTTGAACTTGTCTAGTACATTTTTCTAATTCAAAGTTACTTATTTTGGCATTGTTACTACAACTCCATTTATATTGTTAATAATATACAGTCTAACTCTATAGTCCTGGATTAATCATTTATTGCTTATTCAAATATTTATTAAACATGAAGTCAAGTACTCACTGTGCTGGGTGCAACAGCAATGGAAATAATTATAACTTCATCCATACAATCCAAGAACTCCTAATCTAATGGGACAAAGTCCATCTTGGTGGTTTCATCTGTAAACTGGGGATAGCATCAACACTTCTCACCTCATAGGATCATGTAAAGATCAGCTAAAGGAGTGTATAAAATGTGAAAACCACTCAAAAAAGTAAGATAGAAATTTATTTTTCAGCTAATTCTGTTTTATATATGGGGAATAACGTAATGATAAAGTTCAAAAGAAGACAGGCAATTTGATAGTCTTCTTTTTTTTTTTTTGCGGTACTGGGGTTTGAACTCAGGGCCTCAAGCTTGCTAGGAAGGCACTCTACCACTTGAGCCACTCTCCCAGCCAAAGACAGGCAATTTGAGACTTAGAACTATGTAACTGATATTAAGACAGAAATAATCCCAATTTAGGTTTAGTGGCTTAACCTACACGGAACAGAAGGGCAATAGCAATCTGGTTGCATCTAGCAGAGGGTAAGAGGAGAGGGAATGGCCTAAAACTGGATTGTAAAGTAAAAATAAGAGAAAGAGCTGTTTTCAAACATGTGAAAATCTATAATAAGAAACAAAGAGTAGACAAGTTCCAGAGGGTCGAACGCTGATGCTAGAAAGTTTAAGAGGAAAAGTTTAAACTGAATATATTGGGATGATCTTTGTAATAGTAAGGGCAACCAAAAATAGAAGGACCTGATTTTTGAAGCTACTAATTCCTGTCAATGCAGATGTCCACAGGTGGGAAGACTGGATGTTGGGGATGCTGAGGAAAGGTCTTTTGTGAAGAGGCTGTGGGGAAGCAGAGTTCAATACTTCTAGGGTTCCCTGGATTTCAATGAACCCTTAAAATTGTCTTTATTTTTAAGAGGTCCTTTTCCTCTTTTAGATAGCCTTGTGTCGTAACAGATGCAATATCTGTACTCATAAATTCTGACCACATATTTTTGCATCAAACTGTTATGTGATGCTAAATATTTTGTTCTGATGTCTAAAGTATTTGGTCATAATCCTATAAAGTACTATAAAAGTTACAGAATGATTTGCTTGCTTACCTTTGCTGATGAAACAATTTGCTTGGCCTGGCGTCTTGATAAATGGTCAATAGTCCTTATTAGCACTTCTGGATTAGCATTAGCTAAGTGCACTAGACTTTTGTAACCTGCATTGTATAATTGTTTTGCTCGACCCTGGAAAGTGTTATAAAAATCAGATGGATCAGAATTTTGGATTAGCAAAAAAACTCCATATGCAAGAGATATGAATGTAGAGGTAACAGATAAGAATCCTGAGGAATTTTTATAGATGCATTTGGGTTATTCCAATCTGACTACAAGGCAGCTTTTTATGCAGCTTAAGTCAGCTGTGTGCTAAATTCAGGAATGTAGAAACCCAATAAGGCGCTTAGATTAGTAGCACTATTTCAGATGTTTAAGCAAAATGTCCAATATCCTTAAAAGGTTCTTACCATCTACTCAGAGGACCACTGTGTGTGTGTGTGTGTGTGTGTGTGTGTGTGTGTGTGTGATTCCCAAGCAGAACTAAGAATTGAATAAGAGAATATAAATTGGAACTGATGGCTGACTGAAAGTAGGCAGCTAAGCAACCAGTTATGGACTTTGTTTTCTTTTGGTGGTGCCAGGGGTTGAACTCAGGGTCTCATGCTTAATAGCATTCTGCCACTTGAGCCACTCTGCCAGCCCGAGGACCCTTTCTTCTTGGTGTCATAGAGAACTAAGTGACCCTTGCTGCCACTGTGTCATTGTTACCTTAAATAAGCACTGAGTCCAAACAGAAGGAATTCTTCAATGGAGTGGAGGAAGGAAGAGATGCTAAGGACAGGTGGCACAATTTTTTTTTTTTTTTGCAGTACTGGGGTTTGAACTTAGGGCTTCATGCTTGTTAGGGAGGGCTACCCTTTCCCCTACTGTTATTATTGTTTTTTTTTTTTTTAAACAGATTTTTCATCAGGTCTGCTTCTTAATTAGCAGTGGATTTCGGGGAGGTCACAACAGCAATTTATTGAAACCATCCTCCCCTCCACTCCCGCAAAAACAAACAAAAAATTTCCATGACAAATGAACAGTAAGGCTCTGGCTGTCACTTGCCCTGTAGTAAGACTTCATAAAATAGTAAAACTTGAATTTTTTGTTGGCCAAAATAACCTCATATGGGAAACTGTGAAGCTACTGACCTCTAAGACTCCAGTCACTTCCATGAGAGGGATTAGCTCTGCCTTTACACAGTAGGTCAGCTTTTTGGTAAGTTCTACCAAAAGAGCTCTATAAACCCAAAACTCCTCAAGTTCCTGTAAAACACAAAGAAATACATAAAGTTTAACTTCTGTAAGTTATTGCAAAGTTTAGGTTGTAAAGTAGGGGCTCAGCCTGGAATATGGGTTAAGTCAGAAATAAAAGACGATTATAAGCAAAATTATCATGAGGAAACACGTTGGAATCCTTAAGGGACTTGTTGAACTACTTTTAGGAGGAGGAAAAAATATTAAAAATCAAAAAATAAATCAATAAGACTTAAAAATAAGTTCATTTTTACCAAAACATCAGGAAGTAAATGTTATCATTTTTATTTCCTAAGCAACTAAAAACAATTCCTACCTTCTGGGAATTTATCCTGAAGACAAAATATTAAATATGGAAGGATCCAAATGCACCATGGTATTCAATATATCATTATTTAAGCTAATAAAAATACTGAAAAATTGAACTAGGGGTGTGGCTCAAGTGGTAGAGTGCTTGCTGCAAAAGCAAGGTCCTGAGTTCAATCCCCAGCACCACCAAAATAAACAAACAAATAAGATAAAAGGAAATCATGAGTCAATAACTACAAACCTGGGTGGGTACATGGGTATGATTTGTCTTTCGTTCAATATCTGTTTGAACTTTCCACTACAGCAATTTTTTTAAAATGTCCTTTTCTAGCCTTTGAGTATCACTGTGAGAGCATGTCATGCATGGAACAGCATTAGCTAGTCATATTGTGACCACTGAGAAAGTCATCAATGCAGTGAAGATGGCACAGAAAAAAGAAAATCTTTGACCAGAACTATTGAATCAATCAACCCTGGAACTGCCTTAGTTCTGGCCTTCCTGTTCTACAAGATAATCATTTTTCCTCACTGGTTAAACTTCTGTAGTGTTTTTCTGTTATTTGTAGTTAAAATCATCTTTACTAACACAATTGGTCTACTATTTTACACCACTAACAGAATTAGTGGTATAGAGCACAGTTTACCTGTTAGATTTTTCTTAGGAGCAGCCATCAATTATAGTTGTCTCTCAAGGTCTACATACAGACTCTTTTATTTGACAATTCTATAAGGCTTAAGTCCTCACAAAGCTAAGTGAAACAAAGGAAAGGAGTATCAAGGAGAGTCTGTTAAATAAAATAAAATAAAATAAAGCAAACAAGGAGAGTCTGCTTAAAAATGGAGAGAAGAGCTGGGCATTGGTGGCTCACGCCTATAATCCTAGGTACACAGGAGGCAGAGAGCAGGAGGACCACAGCTCAAAGGCAGTATGGGCAAATAGTTTACGAGACCCTATCTCGGAAAAACTCTTCACAAAAATAGGGCTGGTGGAGTGGCTCAAGGTGAAAGCCCTGAGTTCAAGCCCCAGTATCAAAAAAAAAAAAATGGGTAACAGAGCTGGGGATACAGTTCAGTGATAAAGCACTTGCCTAGCATGCATGAGGGTGTGACCTCCCCTAGCACTGCAAAGCAAAAAAGAACTAATAAATAAATAAAAATAAAGTAAAAATGGTAACAGAAAAGTTAATAAATACATTTTAAAGGTCAGTTTCTCCCGATTACTCATAAATTATTTTTGTTTGCTGCCTAAGAAGCATATGCTCAGGAAATGTAAGCTATAATTTAAAAATCAGCCTAAGTAAGATATTTAGAAAGGTGAACTTGCTAAAATAATTATCATTCAATCCAAAGCCAGTATTTTTTGGATTATTTACTCCTTTCATTAGTACATGTGTTAGAATTGTCATATACATATATAGATTAAGGAGGGTTAAGATAGAAAAAAACAAAGAACACTAAAATTTAAATGTAGCAAAAATGAGTACATCATAAATTCAATTAAAAAGCTATCTAGGTAGAAAAATCTGGTAAGCTTTGTTGTACTATTTAAGAAAATTACAAAATCTTCTTTTAATTAAAGTCTTAAGTAAACTAATCCATTCCAAATGCTTATGGCCAAAATAAAGCTTTGAATTGTTATATAAAATAAACATCTGATGTAGAAACCTCACATTGCTGCCTTACACTGGGAGCAAATATTACTGTGGCAGTCAAGAGAACTTGGTACCGAGCAGTCTGACAGCAGGTGCTGGGAACGGATAACTTACCAACCAAACACTGGGCATGTCTTTCTCATAAGAAAGACATTCACCCAGAATTTGCCGGAAGAGAAAAAAGGCTGTTTTGAATAATTAGTTCTAAATCCTTACCCTATTAATAGTGGCCTGAGAATAGGGTTAACTGTGTACTTTTTACTTATTCATTATGTATATTAGTTGATTCAGTAAGTTTTATTTCTTTACTATAAGTATGTATATCATATTTATGTAAAACAGATAAAAATAAAAATATATTTTAAATAAATTTTGAGTGTTTTGAAATAACAAAGTAAGTCAACAATGAGAACGCTGACATACTGACTACTGGTTTCTGAGTTTAATAAGTTAAGATGGGAAGCTGCACAAAGGACATGCCATGTATTTAAGCGAATTACCTCACAGAAATGTAACACACAAGATGAGAATGAGGCAGCTCCAGTAAGCAGATTTTGTATATATCCTCGAGGCAGATTAAATTTTTCAGACACACTCCAAATGTTGGTGTCTTTGAGCAAAGTATAGAGAACAAAAGACAGGTAGAGTCTGTTGACAACATTCTTGTCCACTTTCTAGAAAGACACAAACAAATTTATGGACAAAAGGTAAGGTGAATGAAGCTGCACTACAGGTTAGCAAGGATAGAAGAAACAAAACTGACTTCTAACGTATATACTTAGATTACATTATCATTTTCTCAACTATAAAAAAGAGAAATAGCAAACTGTTTCCCATTTAAACTAAACTTCCTTCTACAGAAGTACAGTAGGTGGAATTGTGCATCTCTAAAAAATAAATGTTCAAGTCCTAAACTATAAAGATGACTTACTTTAGGAATAGGATCTCTGCAGATGAATTTACTTTAGGAGTTCTAAATGAAGTCACCCAGGATTTACAGTGGGCCCTAAATTCAATTACTGATGTCCTATAAGGAGAAGGAAAAGGCACAGAAGGAAGTAATGTGAAGATGGAGGCTGAGGTCAGAGAGAGGAGCACCAAGGATTGCTGGCAATGCCCATGAACTAGGACACAGGCATGGGATGGTTGCTTTCTTACAGCCTCCTGAAGGAACCAACATTGCTGGTACCTTGATTTCAGATTTCTGGCTTCCTGAACTGTGAGAGGACAGATTTGTGGAGCTTTGTTTTGTTGTTTGCTTGTTGTTTGGTGCTAGGGATTGAACCTAAGCCCTCACATACATTAAGATATGCTCTATCACTGAGCTGTATCTTCAGCTGAATTCTGTTATTTTAAGCCACCCAGTTGGTGGTAATTTGTTACAGCAGCACTAAGAAATGGACCAGGGAAGGAAGAAGGAAGTAGGGAGATTTCTACATTTACTGTGATATTTAAAAATTTATATGTGTGCAAGTAGATAAACATGTTGGCAAGCTTGTCTATATTATAAATGGAGATGCTAAGATAAATAATTAATGTTTCCAAAGTTAAAACAATGAAAGGGATAGAAAAATAAGAAAAATGCTTCCTATAGTTGACAATTTCTGTTCAATGTACCTACCTCTGCTTTTGGTGTCTTGTGGCTGTATTTTTGCATTAAATATCTCATTGCTGGTATGAAGCTAATTTAGAAACTAATACATGCTTAAAATTAGAGGAAAAAAGAGGATGAACTTGAAAAAGAAGGTGTGAGGGGCTGGTAGAGTGGCTCAAGTGTCTGTCTAGCAGTGTGAGGTCCTGAATTGAAACCCCAGTGCTGCAAAAACAAAACAAAACAACAAAAAAAGAAAAAATAGGTGTGAAATACAAAATTAGTTGGCTTTGGTGATGCGTGCTTGAAATCACAGCAGTCAGGAGGCTGCTCTAGGAGGATTGTGAGTTCAAGGCCAGCCTAGGCTGCATATCAAGAAGCAATCTCAGAAAAAAAAAAAAAAGATTTCCTCTATCATAGTAAAAGAATGTCTGAGATGAGAACTTAGGGTGACATACTGAAGGATCTATGAGTAATAGATTATAGATTCTGTTTGATAATGGATCACTCTTCTTAAAAGCATTAAGCTGAAAAAGCATGATAGTTGAGTAGGAAGTAGAAAAAGATAGCTTTTTAATTTCTCAATTTTAACGTACCATTACTATTAACTATAAATTGAGTTAATGTAGGTTTTGACTAGAGTGTATTTCCTAAGCCAAGAAAAATGATAATAATTATTACCCGGCAAGACAAGATGTTTTATGCCAATTTTAAGATCTTTTTCAAGAAATGCTTAAAAAAAAGAATATGGAGAAATCAATTAGGTTTTAGGTATCATGTTCTTTAGGATTCCTAGGATCTACTGGCATAGTCCAAGAGGTAGAACACTTGCTGAGAATTCCAAATAATGATACATCTAAAATACTAAACTAGTAACTAATTCATTCATAAAGAAGATACATTTATACCTTACTACTTTAGAAATTTAATTACCAAGTTAAATATTTATTGATTATATTAGATATAATGTAACAAAATTAAGCTGGGTGTGTTGGTGCACATCTGTAATTCTAGCACTCAGGAAGCTGAGGTAGGAGGATTTTGAGTATGAGGCCAGCATGGGTTACTTAGCAAGACCCTGTCTCAAACAAAAAAAACAACAACAGAAAAAACCTACTAAATAAAAATTTTTAAGAAGTAATAAAATTAAATTCCTGATCCAAGTTTAAAGAAATGCATTATTCTAAAAGATTTGGTATATGGCTACTTTTTGGTAATGAGTCTCAAATTAATATGATTTTGTTTTTAAATTGTAGAATTTGATATAAAAGGTATGGTTGAATAAATATTTTTGGTTAACATTTTGAAAGTCTAGAGCTGGGCATGGTGGTGCCCAGCTGTAATCCTAGTACTTGGGAGGCTGAGGCAGGAGGACTGCAAGTTTGAGGACAACCTGGGCTACATAATAAGACCTTCTTTCAAGAAAACGGAAAAAAAAAAAAAGTCTAAACAACATAGCCATTTCTAAGATAAAAGATCCAGTCTAAAAATCACAATAATGTGAATGCTTAAATATAATATATTTTTGATTTTATGATACAGCAATGCATGGGACAGCTGCACCATTCAAGGCAAATAAAAGTAAAGACCATCTTCCATTTTTCAAAATGCAATTGATATAATCTACATGAATTAAAAAGATATAGGGGGAAATGGGAAGTTAGATAGTGAGGTTTCAATGAAAATTGGATTAACAAAGAAAATTAAAATGAAAAAGTGTGATATGAGTGAAAAATGGTATTAACTTAGGGAAATTGAAGGTATGGTTACCAAAGAACTGTTTCTACTTCTCTTAGAGTCAGTGTATGCATTAGACCTTGCTTCATGTCTGATGACTGAATTGTGAGACCCTAAAAGTATAAGATATCACACACAAGAATGTTAGCCTATTGACTTCAGTCTTCTGAAATGCTTTATGTACTGTAAGGACAGGCTGAGACATTTTAAGGGTAACAATCAATAAAAAATTCAGACCTGTCCTATTTCCAAATTTCTGGGAAATATATTAACTCCTTTAGAGGATGGGTGTGCAGCTCAGTGGACAGGGCTTGCCTACCATACTCAAGGCCATGGGTTCAATTCCAGCACAGCAAAAAATAAATAAATAAATTTAAAAATAACTTCTTTCAGGATTAGATGATATTGTGAAATTACCTTTATAAATATTTTACAATTTTCTTAATGTAAGCCAAAAACAGCCTAAGAAAAACAGATTAAAAAAAAAAAAAAAGAAAAACAGATTAATAAAGTTGATCCTTTTTTTTTTTTTTGGCAGTTCTGGGTTTGAAATCAGGACTTCATGCTTGCAAGGGAGGGACTTTAGCCATACCTACAGCCCAGGTTGATCCTTTCTTGTGATAAAGTATATAATCTATGACAGAATATTTCATATAAAAAAACAAGGTTAGAGGTATGGCTCAAGTGGTACAGCACCAGCCTCACAAGCATGAAACCCTGAGTTCAAATCCCAGTACCACCAAAGGGGAAAAAAATAAACAAGAAAGGCCATCACACCACCCAGAAATAAATATTGCCTTAAAAAATTCACACATTTTTGGTGCTAACAAATTCCTTTATTTAGAGTCAAGTTCTTGTTATGTAGCCCAGGCTGACCTCAATCTCATGATCCTCCTGCCTCAGCCTCCCAAATGCTGAGGTTACAGGACTGTACTACCATGCCCGGTGATAGATGCTTTAAATAGCAAAATGGGAATGATACTAATTTAAATAAAAAAGACTGCAAAATAAAAAGATCAAGTCATTAATGGAGATAATGAACTCAAGTTCATTATTTATTAAGAAGAAAGATTATGGTACCTTCCTGATGGCTTGACCTGATGCTTTCTTCCCAATAAAGCTTTCAGAGACTCCAAGAAGAGTAGCTACATTTTGTTCTGCTGGACTGAGTTGACTAAACTGCACAGAAAAAGAGTAAATACATGAAAAATCAAATTGTAACTAAAAAAATCTGTCATTTAGACCAAATCCAGTATTTATGTTGAGATCACATCTTCAAGATTTTTAAAGGATATAAAAAATGACATAAATTTCTTTACAAATATACAAAAATACTGTATTAGAATAAAACATATTTTAGTAGAATTATAGTCACATGCAGCAGGACAATGTTTCAGTCAACAACAGACTACATATATGATGGTGGTCCTGTAAGACTACATGACCTAGTGACTTCACAGCAGTCCCAGTTGCTAAGTACTGATGTGCACACAATGCTGAAACTGCTAACAATGCATTTCCTAGAACACATCACATTAGGTGATGCATAACTGTGCATCACCTATGGCCATAGGTACTGGTTTTCATGGACTAAGTGATTATGTTTAATATCGGAGATAGCTGAGGAGAGGGAGAAGAGGGAAAAGTTTTGAAAGAACTTCATTATATAGTACCACTTAAAAAACTTACAGCAATTATTTAAAAATACGACATTATAAAGGAAGTTAATTTTCTGAGATTAAAAGCTGTATACTTGCATGGGGTGCTGGTCGCTCAAGACTGTAACCCTAATACTTGGGAGCCAGAGATCACAATTCAAGGCCAACATGGGCAACAAAAGCGAGACTCTACCTTGAATACATCCAACATAGAAAAGGGCTGGCAGAGTGGCTCAAGTGGTAGAGTGTCCACTATATACTGCCTAGCTACATAGTCAGGGACTGGAGATATAGAGCACATGCTTAGTATAAACAAGGTCCTGGGTTCAATCCTCAGCACTGGAAAAAAAAAAAAGAAAAGCCATATTTTGTTTCTGGCTAATATTTAGTGTTCATTTAGTCAGTCTGTTGCAGTAAAATTATAATACATTGTACTCTACCACTTGGTTTTGTTACATGTTGGGCCAGTTCCGCCTTGCTACTGGCTATAAAATACTCTCTTACAGATATTAATATCATTGGATTGGTGTATCATTGGATTTGTGCTGGACTCTAACAGAGCTTTCACATAATTTAAACCCAATCAGCAGCAACAGTTCTGTTTTCTTTACATTTTATGTGTTATAAACACTGGAGGCTCAAGAGGTGGAACGCCTGATTTGCAAGTGTGAAGCCCTGTCAAAAAAACCCCGAAAATGTTGCTGCCATATTACTATTTTTAAAAACTGAGGGACATATATACACGTATGAAAATGTCATAATGGAATCCATTATTCTGTACAATTAATATATGCTAGGGGGGAGCGGGAGGGGGCGGAGTGGGTGGTAAGGGAGGGGGTGGGGGCAGGGGGGAGAAATGAACCAAGCCTTGTATGCACATATGAATAATAAAAGAAAAATGAAAAAAAAAATATATGCTAATAAAAAATTTAAAACCTTGAAAATCTAAAGGCCCAATTCCAAATATATTTCACTAGACAAAAAAGGGTAAATAATCATTAGATGAAACTCACGATGAATAAACTAAGTAGCCTAAATTGAAACATCTTCTGTTCTCACCTGCCTGAAGTATATCATCCAGTCAGGGTCACACTGGGAAACCAGATCATAGGGAGTTGTGAGATAGATTAGATGAAGAAGGCTTTCCAGCACAAGTCCTTCAAGACCTTTCTTCAAGTCTCTATAGAGAATGTCACAATAAGCCAAATCTATAGTTCCTAAAAGAATGACACACATGTTTAGTTTTCATTATTATTAGAAGGGGAAAGAGATGATTTTTAAAGTCTTCCTTTATTTTTGTTTGTTTGTCTGTGGTGCTGAGTATCGATGCCAGGCAGTGCTCTACCACTGAGCTTTAGCTCCAACCCTTGTTTATTTTATTTTCAGTTTTTTGGCAGTCCTGGGGTCTCATGCATGGCAGGCAAACTCTCTATCACTGAGCTATATCCTCAATCCTAAATTAAATCTTGTTTAGAAACCACCTAAATACAGAAAAAAGTCTACAAAATCTTTTATTGTTTAACTATTTTTGGAGGATATACATGAACATTTAGTAAGTTCTGATCCAACTAGTCTATTTTGAGGAATCTAGTAAAAAAAAATTTTTAATATATACCCAGAATACATAAATTGAGATGCTCATGCATCCCTGTTTATAATAGAGAAAAATCAGAAACAATGAAAATGTCTACCAATAAAGGAATGATTAAGTAAATTATGTTACATCCATACTATGGATGACTACATGTATTAAAAGAAAACTGTAACTGGGCGCCAGTGGCTCATACCTGTAATCCTAGCTACTCAGGAGGCAGAGATCAGTTCGAAGTCAGCTCCCGGCAATTAGTTTGTAAGACCCTATCACAAAAATACTCAGTACAAAAAAGAGCTGGTGGAGTGATTCAAGTGGTAAGAGCGCCTGCCTAGCAAGTGTGAGGTCCTGAGTTCAAACCCCAGTGTCACCAAAAAAAAAAAAAAGTGATAGATTTAAAGTAATTGATCTGTTAAGATGGTCATAATATTTTATGAGAAAAATTGCAAAAATATACCACAATTCCATTTAAAAAAATCTATGTACAGTATACACACACACACTTACACATAAAAATATATTCACGAGGGCTGAAGGCATGGCTCAAATGGCAGTGCCTGCCTAGCAAGTGAAAAGCCCCAACTTCAAATCCTAGTACCACACACACACACACACACACACACACACACACACACACAAATACAGCCAAAAATACAGTCATATTTCACTTGATGATGGGGACACATTAATGACATCATTAGACGATATGATCTTACGGGAACACCATTGTCTATGTGGTCAGCTGCTGACCAGGACATCATTATGCAGTGCAAGACTGCATGTGGATGGGTACACATCCAGCTGTTAGCACTGTAGCTCCTGAGAGAGGGCAAGTAGGACAAGAGTTTGGTGCTTCCCTTAATATTATCCTGAGGTTTTTTTTTGTTTTTTTTTAAACAATAGACATCTATTATTTTTCATTAAGTGAATTAAGATATATTAATTAAGAAAGAGATTCTTTATTCAGGCATAGAATAATCTGTATGATATTATAATTAGCAAAAAAGCAAGTTGCAGAACAGTACAAAGGACTATTTGATTAAAAACAAAAATGTAAGCCTGTGTATATGCATGGGTTATGAACTGAAATGAAATGCATGAGAAGGTATGCAAAGATACAGCAAACTGTTGCTCTAAGTGAAGGAGGGATAACCAACTTTTCTCTACCTGTGCAATTTTTTCATTAGTTGTAATTCGAAACATTTTTCAATCTTTGAAAGTTGAAATGGCTTATAAGCTTAATGCTGTTAATATGAAATCACAAATAGAAAATAATTTAATTTATATTTTTCCAATACATTTCTTCAGATTAATAAGGTTTAGGTAAACTCTTACCTTTAAAAGAAGCTCTTCCCAGTTTTGTAATATGAAAATTACATTGTAACTTTTCTTCAGACTTATGAACAGTATCCTTTCCTAGGAGTCCTTTCTCTGTCAGGTATCTAAGTGATTCCACAGTTACTTCCCAGAGACTTTTATCTTTCAGTAAAATCTTTTGCTGAACACCAAAAAATGTACCATTCATAAAGTGATATATCTCATCAAGATTTGTTGCAATCTGAAACAATTCAGGACATCACTGGAGCATTCTCCTTAACTCGAGGCATTACTTTACACATTAATCAAGAATTACTCATTTCCATATTTCAGAACTATTTAAATTAAAAATTAGTATAAAATCTGAACAACTGCAAAATCTAATAAGAAAAACAATTTAAGGGAAAAGACAGTTCTCATATTCATGCTTTTTTTTTTTTTTATGAAAATGTAACACATTTTTCACTCAAAAACTCTAGGTTTTCAAACAACTTTTTCACAATATCTCCAAAATTGTAATATGTTTAATCCCTACCAATTTTCACTAATTCCCACTTAACCTCCTTCTGCAATCCTCTCTTCATGCCCTTCTACCTGCCCATGGAAGCATCCTTTAAGCACTAAAAATTGCATTAAAAATAAAAAAGAAGCATAGAAAACACAACTGAAAGAATCCACTAAAATAGGATCAGGCAATACTTTGCCAGAAATGTTACCTAAAAATAAGTATTTTTCTATTGCTTCTTGTCTCTCTCATTCCTGTTCCCCTTTCCTGTCCTTCCACTGTCTTTTTCTCTCCTACTTCCTGTTCACTATTTACAAGTTACATCAGTGATCATAAGTAACACTTAACCCTCGGCTCCCTCGGCTTGGTATTCAGATGCAGAATTGGTTCTGAATTAGTATAATCTTTTATTAGCCAATTTCAATGAAATCAGCATGTTATACTAAGACATGGCCAATCAATAAATGTATTTCTGGAAAATTTAGATAGTTATTTCATAGAAAACCAATATAAGTGATAACAAAAAACATTATGGGCCTTAGACATTGTCTTTTGATTCTCTTTTTTTCTTATCGTGTTGCTATGCTAGAGGTACAATATGACCTTTACAAAAGCTCTTACAATATATCATAGTTATTCACCCCTCCATCATTCTCCTTTATTCCCCCTCTCTTTTCTTTTAATAACAACTATTCTTAATACTCAAGCTAAAAATTTACTTTTAAGATATCCAAGAATTGATACTCAGTTTGTAGATTGTTTATGGATTGCTAATTACTAATACACTTAGTTTCCTATCTGACTTGTAGTGTTACAGCTAACACTACAAGAGGCCAGGTTGGCAGGTTTGGGAATACCTTTACTTGATCCCTCTACCTGCCTTCATGTCATCTTTCCATCCCTTCCTAAAAGGCTTTCTGATGCAGTGACTTAAACCTACTGGGCCAGCCTCTGACTCTGGTCTCCATAGCTTCTCAAAGCTGGATTCTTCACTGATGCCCCAAACTAGCAAGTACAACCAGGCCCAACTCCAAAGACAATTTGATTAATTCAAATATTTACTGAATAAAAAATCACATGCCAAGCACTGTGTTAGGCACTGGGATTCAGTGATTGATGAAAAGAAACATGAGCTCTACTTTATATGGCTTATATTCTGGTGGAGTAATGTTTTATTTTTAATGTTAGGTTGATTTAAAGTGCTGGTCTGGGCAGTTACATTGTCTACAATGAGAAGTTATCTAACTTCAAATGTACTGTGTATGGCAATTAGAAGTCACCATGTAAGAGTAAACCATGGCCTGCTGCAGCCAGCACAAAATAGTCAGAGAACAGCAGAGGAAATATAGGGATGGAATTGGGTTATGTTTATTATCAAAGAAAAAATAATTTCTGAGTTGGGCATGGTGGAGCATGCCTACAATCCTAGCACTCAGGAGACTGAGACAGGAGGCCTACAGGTTGAGACCAGCCTGGGCTACATAGGAAACCCTATCTCAAAAAAAGCAATTAATAAAAGAAAGAAAAAAGAACTCCTTAGGAATCTTAACAAAGAAGGCAATATTGTGGGGTTTTTTTTGGCGGTGCTGGGATTTGAACTCAGGGCCTCACACTTGCTTGGCAGGCACTCTTACTGCTAGAGCCACTCTGCTAGCCTAAGAATGGAATATTCTGAAAAAAAGAAAACTTAAAAAGAAAAGGGGACTTGTGGGGGGAGGGTGGGGGGGTATTCTGCACTGGGAGAAAAGACAGGATACAACATTACAAATGTTTTAACTCCAGTCCTGTCCTCAACTCTTCCACCAGTGGGGTAATTATTTGCCAAATAATTGTCCTAAGGAGAATACAGTTTCAAACTGATAAGTTCTACTAAAGAATGTGACAACAGATTGATGGGACTCAGGGGCCTAGGGAAGGCTTCCGGAGGAAGTGATGGTTAAACTAAATCTGAAGGTGAGCAAGACTTAATTAGATAAAGGAGTAGTCAGGGAGCAAGGATGGGCAGGGGGAGGTTTGCGGAGCATAAGAGAGCACAGTGTGTTAGAGACAAGAAAACAGAAAGCCAGTATGTCTGGAGTGTGGAGTGCAAGAAGGCTGGTAAGAGATGAACCTGGACAGACAGGCGGAAGCCACACCAACCATGGAGACCATGATAAGGAATTTGGGCTTAATCTTAACAGCAAAGGGAAACCACTGGCAAAGTGTAAGTAAGGGAGTGACATTTGGATTTACGTCTTAAGACTATTCTATGTGAAGAATTACTTTGGGGGGGTTTTGGGAAGGCTAAGCAGTGGTTGCAAGGAGGCCATCAGAAGACTAGAACAGTGATTCTGGCAAGAGACTACAAACACAAGTACAGATACACTGTCAAAAGCAACCTACTTCTCTTTGCCTCCAGTTCATTATTTGTAAAACAGGAATTGTATTACTTAAGATTGAAGATAAAACATGTCAAGTGCCTAGCAAGGTGTCTGAAATATGTTGTGATTGCTGGTAGAATGTCTCAAGTGGTAGAGCGCCTGCCTAGCAAGCCTAATAAGCATGACCTGAGTTCAAGCCCCAGTACTGCAGAGGGGCGAAAAAAAAAATATATATGTATGTATATATATAAAATATTTGGGGCTGGTAAAGTGGCACAAGTGGTAAAGTACCTGCCTTGAAAGCAGGAAGCACTAAGGCCCTGAGTTTAAGCCCCAATACTGGCAAAAAAGAAAAAGAAAAAATGAAATATGTTGTGATAAACAATACTCAGAGGTTCCCTGACTCCCATTGCATAGAACTGTTATGTTTGCTTACTTCCTGGAGTTTTCTTCTATCCCATCGAAGTGTGGCTCTAGGGTCCTCACGGGATGTTTACCTCTGCCCTTCTGCCCAACCTCACACTGCTCAAGTCAAGATCTCTCTTTTTTCTTCCCTCTCACTACTTTCCTACCAGGCAGTGCGTGTCCACAGGACTTCACCTCTGCTTCAAGTCTAACCCTAAACATTTCCCTGGTTATTGACCCTGTTTACAGTTCTACTCTCCTTTCACAATGGCAGTACTGTTGTGAACTCCTATCACAAGGTGCAGGAGGAACCCTGATAGTCTGTTTTCCTCAAGACTGGATACAGTAGCTTGAGTTCTGCCTCCTGTGGGCAGGGCTGGATGATAATTGCCCATCTACTCATCTCTTGAACAGATTGCTACCTGAATTTCTCACTGCTGAACTTCAATTGTTAAAAACAGAATGTTTGTTTATTTAATTTATTTAAATTAAATAAACTCTGGGTGGCGCCATGTTGACCATTATCTCAGTCCTTGTTTTGGGAGGGGTTCTGGAGAAGTTATCACTTGTCCTGGGGAGACTCTGATGTTCCCTACCTTGGAGCATTTTCTCTACCCCTCCTGGTAAACAAGGTATCAAAAAGTCCTGTCCTTTCTGGTTCTAAGGTAACCGAAAGCTGAATAACTGAATAGCTTCAACAAAGGCAGGGATGCCAAGCTCTTCTCTTGCTTTTAGTTAATTCATGAACCCAAGTAAGGAGTCAGTGCTTTTCAGCAAAAGTAGTTAAAGCACCTCTTACAATTCCCCCTTCATGTTTGAATACTTCTCAATCTTGAGGAAATTGATCAATCTGGCTTTGGAGGTTTCCTGGCCAGTGATAAACAGGGGGGGGGGGGGCAAATAAAGTATGTAAGTCAAAAGTACTTGTTGAAAAACAGAATTTAAATGAAACTGTTGCGTGTGACCAAGTTGACAACTTCATTCCCTATCTCTCTGTTTACTCTGAGTTCTCTGGTCTCAAGTGAAATCCTGATTCCTTCCCAATTTCATGAAAAATTTGCAATTTCTACAAAAAAAAAAAAAAGTTGAGGTTTTTACTATTGGGATTGCAGTGATTGTATGGGTCGATTTAAGAAGTTACATATGAATAAAACTAAATGTTCTAGTTCATGAATATGGTAGTTCTCTTCATTTATTTAACTCTTTAATTTTTTCTTAGTAGTGTTTTATAGTTTTCAGTGTAAGATCTGGCACATATTTGCAAAAGTTATCCCCATTTCATGTTTCTTGATGCTATTGTAAATGGAATTGTTTTTCTAATTATTTATGGTATTTGGAAATATAACCAAGTTTTATACTTTGGGCTTCTATCTTGTACCACTGCTAGTTAGTCTGTACTAGTTTTTTTGTACATTCCTGTGGACTTTTCTTGAACTCAATGTCAATAGCAGAAAAGATGGTTTTAGTTTTTCCTTTCCAATCTGCATGACTACCTTATGTACTGGCCACATGTTGTATATATTGTCCTGGCCATATGAACTTCTGGCCACATGCTTAACGGTATGGTGAAGGCAGACGGCCTTGCTTTTCTTGATCTTAGCGGAAAGATAGTTTTTCACAGTTGTTAAGTATGATGTTACCTGTAGGTTTTTAAATAAACACTCTATTAGGTTAAAGAAGTTCTCCTCTAATCCTAAGTGTGCTCAGTTTTCATCATAAATGGGTATTGAATTCTACTACTATGGAGACTTACATTGACTGATCCCCTCCTCCCCCCACAGTGCTAAGGCTCAAACCCCAGAACCGTGTGCATGCTGGGCAAGAGCTCTACCACTGAGCTTCACCCCCAGACATTGGCTCTTTTGAGGTATGGTCTCACTGTAGGATCTCACTGTGTAGCTAAGCTAATTTTGAAGTCTCTATGCAGCCCAGGCTGGCCTTTAACTCATGATCCATCTGCTTCTACTCCATCCGTTGGGATTTCAGATGTGACAACGCGGCTTGATTGAATTTTTCTTTTCTTTTCTTGTCTGTGGTACTGGGGTTGAACTCAAGGCCTCATGCTTGCTAGGCAGCCATTCTACCACTTCAGCCACTCTACCAGCCCCAGTATGTTTTAAATTATAAGGTCAATTTCTTGAATAGATAATAGATAACGGATGTGTAAGTATATATGCAGATTTTCATCATCAGTTAATTTGGGGAATTTACATCTTTCAAGCATTTTCATCTAAGCTGTTTAACTCCTTTTACAATATTTCAGGATAATTCTTTACCATCCTTTTAATGTTTTGGGATCTTAAGTGATGACCCTTTGCTTATCCCTGATATTAGTAATTTATATGTTCTTTTCTCTTGATCAACCCAATTTAAAAGCTTACTGATCTTTTCAATTAAGCCAGCTTATGGTTTCATTATTTTTTCTATTATTTGTCTATTTTTGTTTAATTGATTTCTGCTTTTATCTAATCTATTTCCTTCTTTCTACTTACTTCGGATTTAATTTTTTTTTTTTTAGCTTTTTAAAGTGAAACTTAGATCACTGACTATGGATCTTCCAGGTATTCTAATAAGGATTTTAAGATATACAATTTCTTCCAAGCTCTTGTTTTATCCCATCCCAGTAATTCTGATATATTCCTTTTTTTCGTTTCACTGAAAAATTTTTCAGAGTTCTGTTGTGATTGCTTGTTGTTCAAAGTGTGCCGTTCAGTTTCTAAATATGTGTTATTTCCTTGATATCTTTTTATTATTGATGTATATATACTTCTAGTAACATATAGAATATGTCACCATATTCTATAGGTTTCAATCCTTTTAAATTTATTTAGACTTGTTTTATGGTCCAGAATACTGTCTTATCTTGGTGAATGTTTCGTGTGCTTTTAGGGAATGTATATATATGCTCATATGTACAGCGGCACACTGGAAACAGAATAGGATAGAAAGTCAGAAGTCTGATTTATAATTCCATTGGAACCATAATTCACTGAATGATCTTGAAATAATAATTAATTCTCTGGGTCTGTTGCCTTATCTAATATTTAACTGTATTAAGACTTGAGGGTCTTTATAAACTCTCTTTCTCCTTTATTAGTTCCTTGGTCATCCTTCTATTAGAGGTCTTTATTACATCATACAGAGATTAGTATAATTGCTTTCAAACTAATCTTGCAACGCTGCTTACTATTACAGATGCTCCTCAAGTTACAACAGAGCCACACTGTAGTAAGCCCACTTTAAGCTGAAAATATTAGAGGTCAAAAATGCTTTAACACACCTAACCTATGGAACTTCAAAGCTTGACAACAAAGGACTTCACAGAGTATAGGTTGTTCACCCTCGTGATTGCATAGCTGCAGCTTGCTATAGGTACCCAGCAATGAGAAAGATAGATATCTCATCTGCTAACCTGGGTAAAGACCAACATTTGAACCATAATAAGTCAGGACTGTCTATATTATACTCATTTTATTGATAAGGAAACAGTGAGGTTTAAGAGAGCTTTAATAACTTACTGAGGGTAATAAAAAGACAGAACTGGCTGGGCATAGTAGCTCACACCTGTAATCCTAATTACTTGGGAGGCTGAGATCAGGAGGATGGAGGTTTAAAGTCAGCCCAGGCAATCCTTTCTCCAAAATAACCAGAGTAAAATGGACTGCAGGTGTGGCTCAAGTGGTAAAGCACCTTCTTTGCAAGCATGAAGCCCTAAGTTCAAACCCCAGTCCCACCAAAAAAAAAAAAAAAAAAAAGGGCAACTGGAATCAGGACTCAGGTAGTGCAGTATCAGAGCCCTTGCTCTAAATAACCACTGAGCTAACTCTCCATGACAAGAACCATGGTGTGTGTAAGCATGCTCCTGTATCATTAGCAATCTGTAGCGCACGGTCTGGTGTTAACTTTTTCCACCTGACTTTCCACTCTTCAGTATTCTCAGCCATCCTCCAGAGCTACAGTTTCTAGTCTACTGACTGTTACTATATCCTACATCAGCTGAAGCTTTCTTATCCTGCATTCCACTTTAAGCAACTGGAATGGCTTATCCCTTCCTGTTGTTCATCTAACACTTTAGCCTGAATGATTACATAATACACCTGTTAGGTTATCAAAATGTGTCTTGTGATACCTCTTTTATTTGTCAGTTATGGTTTGCACTTTTATATAAAGTGTTCATGTTAATGAAGGCAGCAGACTATATGGTGGGTTAAGAACACTGGTTGCAAGTGCAAAGCCCTGAATTCAAACTCCAGTACCACCAAAACCAAAACAAAACAAGAAAATACTGGTTTTATAGTTAGACAAAGCTGAATTCAAATTCTGGATTTGATACTTTGTGGCTGAATGACTTCAGCACAAGGATAAAATTTAATTAGCTCAAGGATAAACCTAAAAGAGAGATTAATTTAAGAATAACCCTGAAATGAAAGCTAATTTCTAATCTTAGGAAAGAGTTATCCTGTTCTTCCTTTTTCCCCCTACCTGATAAAGGTTGTACTGATCTCTCAAATGTTTACAATATCCTAGAATGGTCACAGGACTACAGAGCACCTCAATGGGCACAGCCCACTGTTTTACAGTCCCTTGTATTTCCCATGGCATCCACCAACATCTTTTATTTGTGATACATGCCCACATAATCTAATTTTTCAAATTTCTTATAGCTCAATATTAAAAAATACATATAAATCCAGATTCATATTCATGTCACAGAATATGCTTTTCCACATTAGATGTTATCATTTGTTTCATACTTTGTAGTTTGCATAAATTCTAGACTCTATTAATTTAGGTAATAATAATAAGATTTAAAAAAAGAACTTTAATAATACCTTCAAACCAATCAAAGACAGAAACAAACTTTGGATTCCTTTGGTGAATTCCTCAACAAGATGGCTATAACAGTTTTCCAGTGGTCTGCTTATTAGTTCCAAGACCTATAAAAGTTAAAGCAATATTATGTTTTATGTTATTATTAAAAATAAATGGTATTTCATATAAAGATTTTATACTTCGAATAAATGTTGGGAAGCCAAGGAAAACAAAAACAAAAACTCACTAAGAAAAAGGATAAAAATTTAACATGTGTCCTCATATTAAAAAAAGATAAATAGAGAAAATATTTTTGTATTGTCTGGAATAAAATACATTCGAACTACTCTAATTCTTAATCATATAGGAGAAGAATACCTCTTCTAAAGGGTCATTAGTAATTAACTTTTAAGCAACAGTCTCTTATAAGGGCTAAAGCAAAGACAAAGAAAAACATAACCAACCAAGCGTTCTGAGTATTACCTGCTGCTTGTCTTTTTCTTGTAATATAAGGATACTCTCCCCAACAGTATCTATTCCAGCACGGCCAGCTCTGCCAATCATCTGTTTATATTGATTCCTCTTTAAAAATTCTTTAGCAACATAGGGAGCTCTTAAAATAACTCTATGGAATTGATAAAATTAATTAAAAGTGATACTCCATCTACAGCAGTAGCACCTACTTTTTAAACTCTTAATTATATCTATATAATATTAAATTTAATGACATACTAGTTCAAAAATCTACGATGTCCTATGTTCTTTATGTATATTGTGTGTAATTCTTTCTTCTTTTTTTCCCTTATAGTACTGGGGATTAAACCCAGGGCCTTGAGCATGCTGGGCAAGTACTCTACAACTTGAGCTCCTCCCCCAACCCTTTTGTTTTCCAAACAGTATTTTACTAACTTTGCCTGGGCTGGCCACAAACTTGTGATTCTCTTGCCTCTGTCTTCAAGTAGCTGGGATTACAGGCACACACCATCATATCCAACTTATTATTGGTAATTCTTACAAAATGCCCAGTAATACCCTTTTTATTTTATCTATTTCTTTTTGGTTTTTGAGAGAGTCTCATTATATAGCTTAGGCTGGCCTGGAACTCACAATCTGGAATCACAAATGTGTGCCACTATGCCCAGTTTATTTTGCTTCTCAATGGAGTTAACTAAAGCTCAGTTAAGTGCCTTACTTGAAAACTCAAGATTAGTAATTACTAGAACCATCATTTGAACTCAAGTCTGCCTAGTTGTAAGGCCTATGATCAATCTATAGCAGTAATCTCCAAAATTTTTTGATTTTATACTCTATATAGTAAAAAGTTTAGCCCTTTACCACCAATACATGGATACTTCTTTATGAACTTATATTATTTTGAACTACATGAAATTGTAGATTTCAGTTGTTTGTTTTTGACCACAAAAAAAAAAAAATGGCGATTTAACCATGCTCAGGTGTACAGAAGTCTATAGTCAGCTTTCATGTCCAAAGGCAAGAGAAAATCTATTTCGTTTCCTTATTTTAATTAACCTACTCCTTGTAAAATAAATCTCAACAGACAGACAAGATTCTCAAACACTGCAAGAAAACTAATGACATGAAAAAAAAACAGAACAAATGACTAAAAGAAACAGAAAAGGCTGGTGGAGTGGCTCAAGTAGTACAGCACCTGCCTAACAAGGATGAGGCTCTGGGTTGAAGCCCCAGTTCCATCAAAAATAAATAAATAAATAAATAAATAAATAAATAAATAAATAAATCAGGAAACAAAAGTGAACTTTAAAAAATTCAACCCTGTCTAGCTGAAGTTACAAATGCAGAGAATAAAGACAATGTGAGGAGAAATACAGAAATTATAGAAATGCCCCTCCCTCACCCCCAGTTAAGATGAACCAAAGGCATAAACTCAAGATTGAAAGAACCCACCTAAGTTCCAAGCCTCATGAATGAAAAGCAGGCGAAGCTGAGATTGTTAGGACTTCCTGGGCTCAAACACTGGCTTTGGAACTCATCTGTTGGATGTGAAGTTGGCTAAGTTAATAACTGGGTGCCCTAGATTTCCCTTTTATAAAATGTGGATAATAAAATATGACCTGGGGGGAGGAGGAAGAGAAACAATGGCTCCCAGAAGACATGAAGCAATCTCTACAAAGTCCCGAAAGGAAAAAATGAACCTAGAATTCTTTTCCCAGTGAAGTATTTTAAAGCAAGAAGTCAAAATGTAGCTGGGTGCTGGTGGCTCATGCCTGTAATCCTAGTTACTCAGGAGGCAGAGATCAGGAGGATCACGGTTCGAACCTAGCTGGGGCAAACATTTTGAGAGAACTATCTTGAAAAAAAAACCATCACCAAAAAGGGCTATTGGAATGGCTCAAGGTGTAGGCCCTGAGTTCAAACACCAGTATAGCAAAAAAACAAAACAAAACAAAAACAAAACCCCCAAAAACTGAAGTCAAAATGTAAACATCTTCAGCTATATAAGACTCAAAGTTTTGCAATATGTTAAAAATGATTATTCAGTGCACTCATGCTTGCCAAAGGTGCTGAGTCTTATACAGACAATGCAGAGCTGGGTGAGGCAGATGAAATGAGGCAGTGCCTGGTGGGGACTGGCCAACAGAAGGCACGGTTCACTGCACAAGTGATGCAGTGAGTTATGTTGAGATAAATGTGTGGAAAAGCCAGAGAACTGGCTAGACTCTTGCACTGAAAATTATCTCTAGCTATGGTGGACCACACTCTTGCCATCACCAGTTGCTTTGCTCAGATTGTACAGAAAGGAGGTCTGTAAGATCCTCTTTGGGAGAATGACAGAAGAAGCAAAGGACTTGTTATTATGCAAATTGAAGGGCCATCCAGGGGCTGTCACCAACACATTGTCAAGTTAGCATCAGATAGTCACCAAGTCTGTTGGTGCTAAAATGTTTTTTTTTAAAAGGTGAAGCTGGGCGCCAGGGCCCACACCTGTAATCATAGCTACTCAGGAGGCAGAGATCAGGAGGATCGAGGGTCAAAGCCATCTCTGGGAAAATAGTTTGAGACCCTATCTCGGAAAAACCCATCACAAAAATAGGGTTGGTGGAGTGGCTCAAACAGTAAGAGCACCTGCCTAGCAGGAGTGAGGCCCTGAGTTCAAACTCCAAAAATTCCAGGTTTATCTTATGTCAATAAATGTGAATTTTCCAACAAAAAATGATTATTCAAGGATGACAAAATTAAAATAATGAAGATGTGGTATACAACAGGTGGTGGTAAGCAAAAAACAAGTATAATTTACAAATAAGTTTAAATGACTATTGTTTATAAGATAAAAAAAATCTGAAAATAAAGTCTAGGTAAATGCACCATACATGGGGCAGAGCAGAATATACAAATCCCAGATTCGTTATGCTCAGAAGTAGGCAGTGATTAATTATAAAGTGATAAAAACATGTTTGATTACAACTGTTAAAATTGTAAGAGTAGCCACTGGAATAACAGAAACAGGATATATCACTTCCTTTTTTTTTTAATAGTCTGAAAAAGAGAAAACTTAGTCAGTGACAGATAATGAGAAATAAAAGAATGAGAAAGATAAACTTGGTCAAAAATGAGTCCTGGTGTTCAAAGCAAAATCATTAAGAAAAACAAGGTCTTATTATACTGATAAAAGGTATAATTCAGCAAAAGTATATTGGAAGTAAACTTCTGTATTCCTAACTCTAAAAAGAAGAAAGCAAAAAGTTCTAGAAATGCAAAAAGGAAAGACTGACAACTGTATAATTAAGGTGGAAGACTAATGCACTTCTCTCTAAAGAATCAAAAATTGTAAGCAAACAGAAGAGTTGACAGGGTAAGTAACAACTGTGATTTCATCGAGACATAAAACTTGCATACCTAGCAGAAAAAGCATACATCTTTTAACACTCATGAAGTATTTATTAGGAAAAAAACTCATAGTCATAAAGAGTAGAAATCAATTAATTATACAAGGATACGGTTTTGGTAATAACTCAAAAGGTAATCAAGGATCTACTCTTAATGATATTAGAATTAAATGGCTTTATGAATTAAAGCCTTTTTTTTTTTTTTCTTTCTAGTACTTGAGATCAAACCCAGGGCTCCATGCATTCTAGGCAAGAGCTCTTCTGCTGAGCTACATCCCCAGCCAAGCTTTATCAATCAATTCTCCAAGGGTTCGAAATGTCCTACTTTTATTGGTATCCCTATGTTAAAAACTCTTTCAGGTCACAAAAAGGGTGAAAACCTTGCCAACTCTTCTTGCATAACTGGAACAATAGAATGGAGCATCAAAACTAGATAGAAGAGGAAAAAACCAGAAAAACAACAACAAAACAGATAGAGAAGGCACAAAAGAAAGGAATTCTAATACTAAGAAATCTACTGTATTTGCCATTAAAATATTAAAGGAAATAAACCAGTCAACTCAGCAAATGCTGAAAAACCATTTGATAAATTCTCACCCACTACTGAATAGTAAAACAAAAACAAAACTCACAAGCTAGAAGGTAAAAAGTTCTCATCCTGGCCAACATGTTGTTACTTCTCTCTCACCTTCGAGCTGGTAGGTTGACCCCTGCTGCCAGGGTAGATGTGCAGGTAAAAAGGCAGAGAACACCAGTAGAGTAGGCCTCCTCCAAGAGCTTCCTTTCATCGCTTGTTAAGCCACTGTGGTGATAGGCAACTCCAAATGGGATGGTGTGCTTCAAGACAGGGCACAGGTTGCCACTGCTGATGTTCCTCAGGTTCTTAATCACCTCACATTTTTCTGTCTCCCTGTGTTTCAGATATTCCCTAGAAAAAGATCCCTAGAAATATGAATCCTTGGCTTTATAGTGATAAAGTGCTTATCACTTTCATTTTAGCAAATGCCACGTAAACATTCTTTTTTTAATGTCCTACTTTTATTGGGATAAGTAAATAAAATGTTCTTGGAATTTTGACTCTGACTCCATTATTGACTCCATCAATCTTTTTGATCACAGACCCTATGAAAATCTGATTCAGGCTAAGGAAAAATACAACAATCCACATAAACACAATACTTTGTGGATAAATGTAGAAGGCTCATGGACTTCCTGAAGTTTATTTTTCTACTTCCTATGAGTCCATGGATGCCAGATTTAGATCCTTGCTTCAATGCTGTGATTGTCTTTTCTCTACAATATATTTTTTTCTCCAGTGGGAGTAGCATTTAAACTCATGGCTCTGCACTTGCAAAGCAGGTGCTCTAGTGCTTGAGCCATGCCTCCAGTCCATTTTGCTCCAGTTATTTTGGAGATAGGGGTATCATGAACTATTTTCCTGGGTTGGCCTCAAGCTGCATTGCTCCTGATCTCAGCCTCCCAAGTAGCTAGGATTACCAGTGTGAGCCACTGGTACTCGACTATTGTGTATATCTTTATAAAATACAGTTTGCTTTATTTTATGGAGTAAATTTTCTTCTCTGAAGATGGAAACATATGTTAAATCATACCAACAATATGGTAAAACACTGTGTGAAACATTAGCACTTTAGAAACCTCAATAATATCCTATAATATTAACAAATTATTCTAAGTGGTTAATACCTTATTCTAAGAAAATCAGTGACTTATTAAGAAAACTTTAAAGTAATTAAATTTCCTTAGTTTTTTATAATCAAAATCATCACTGCAAAGGCAGATATCAGTTACCAAAATGAGCAACTCCTTGATCTTATCCTAAAGATCTGTATCTTTGTAATGGTCAATAAATTTAATTCTATTTCAGATAAATCTATGTCAATAAGATTAAAGTGGGAGGTGGAGGATGACTAGATTAAAATTCAGGTTAATAGTCTATGACTGGGGGTCAGGGGGAGAGGGAGAGGACAGGGGCTGAGGGGGGAAATGGCTCAAACAATGTATACACATGTGAATAAATGAATAAAAAAAAGAGCCTATGACTAGTGATATAGCCCTCACTAAGAGGCCAAAAAGTCTGAAAAAATGATAAAACTGTACATGGGAAGAATAAGTGCAGAAAAACAGAACTGTTAGTACTTAGTTTATGCTTACCCTTCTGATTATGATATATCTAACATTAAAATATCATAAACGACCAAACCAATACATTTCTTAATTATCTAGGAAATTAAATTCAAATGTCTAAACAACTTAAGTGAGAAGATGACTAAAAAAACAAAGACTAAGAGTATTTAATTAATGACAAGGCTACGCTGAAGATAGAATTCGTCCTCACAGTAACTACAGTGATTAGGCCTTTGATTAGCTAGGCCAGTAGTTCTTGACCTTGGCTGTATGTTGGACTTGCCTGGGTTCTTCTTCCAGAGATTCTGATTTGTCTAAGATGTAGCCTGGACATTGTGATTTTTAAAATCTCTGAGGTGACTGATAGTCAACATTTTGGATCCCTGATCTAAGCCTTACCTAAGCCTTTATATCAGCCATCATTCTCTTACATGTAACACTTGAATTCTTCTATCTCGCATGTGCCTTTCACAGTTAAATTTTCTTCTTTGAAGGTCAATTCCTTCAGAATCTACTTATTACAATATACAGCTCTGTAAAGAGTAATTAGTGCTTTTTTCTATAAACAGAACCTGTAATTTCTGATAGAAATAAGACACAACAGAATACTTCTAGAAGATTAACATACTTGCTTAAAAATTTGCATAACATTTCTGCTACGTTTTCACAGTTCTTCTTACTGGGACAAAAGACTAAGCAGGAATAATTGGGAATAACTTCTGTCACCAACGCTACCAAGTGATCAGGATCCATCTTTCTCAGGACATCAGAATACTGCAAAACAGCAACAGCATCCCAGTAGTTAGCAACCATGATAGCCCAGTGTGATTTGAAAAAAGGAAACCACCCATAATTCAGAACTTCTTACTTAATAAATCTGATGATTTAAAAGATGAAACCTATATTAAATATCAAAATGTTAAATTCTACTTTCCTCTTAGGTCATTTGTTAGAGATTTGTTTGTTAGGCACATTTAATTTAAAAAAAATAGGAATTAGGGCTGATGGAATGACTCAAGTGGTAGGGCATCTGCCTAGCAAGCATTACGCCCTGAGTTTACAAGCCAGTATCAAAAAGAAAAAGAAATTAACGAAGTGAGAGAAGTTAATATTATTACTAACTCTGCTACATGCCCATTTTCACCAAAGCAGAACAAAAAATGCCCAGAGAAAAACACAGAGTGATTCTAACAATAATCCTAATAAACACTACATATCCCTATTAGGAATAGTTTTCAAAATTGAAAATTCACTCAATAGTTTCAGAAATAAAAAAACTTCATATTGAATTATGACAATTTTGGTAACATTCATAGGCACAAGGAACTCAAAGAACATGGGAAGATACAGATTTAGAATAACACATCTGATAGAATTCTAAATTGCTGCAAAAATCCCTTTCCCCCTTTTTAATAACCTTCATGGTAAGTCGTAAAACACTGACGTTACAGACATTAGCACTTTTACATACCAGTATATCAGTTACATGGATATAATTGCTTTCACTGTTGCTGCTAAACGAATAAATGTTTATAGTAGAGGTTTTCAAATTTTCTTAGTTCACAGAGATCCAAGGCAAACTAACAGTTTTGTTAATTAGATAGGTCTGAACAACTTAGTAAATATATGTCTTCCTCACAATTTAGTAGCTGTTTGAGCTCAAGAGGTTCCTAATGGGAAGTACACACAACTTGGTAGTGTCTTTCAACCTTTGGAATGAGACTGGACACCACCACCTTCATTCCAGACCGATATTCATATGATTTTTGCATATAGCAACTATAAAAACCCCGACTTCACGAAGACATGATATCAAAGAAAGGAATACATGATGTTCAAACAAGAAACTAAGGGTGTGGCTCAATGGTAGAGTGCCTGCTTAGTATGCATGAGGCCCTGGGTTCAATCTCCAGTGTCACAAACAAAACAAAACTGAAGACTAGCTTCAAGGAATCAGTAGTTTGTATGTTATCTAAAATGTCAAGATCAGCTGTTTTTCTCAAAACTTTATACTATCCCATGAGACCACATGAATCTTCTGTGGTGCCCCAGAAGTATGGGCCCAAAGTATGGGACACGGGATTTAAGGATGATCAACATACCTTATAATCAAGGAGACGTGAAAATGTCATGCCACTCTCAGCTTTGCTGTCAACTTCATATATTGTATCATTTATTTTCAGATATTCTTTTAATTCAACCTTGAATTAAAAGGAAACTTGCAATTAAGACCATGTAAGAGTTCTTTCCAGAGTTTGAAATTTTATAAAATATGTTGTAAGAAGGACAGCTATCCAATGATTTTAGCTTCTCTAAGAAACCTAAAACATGCTTCAATTTAAAAATTCTAGCTTTAAACTAGGTGCTGGTGGCTCACACCTGTAATCCTAGCTACTTGGGAGGCTGTGACAGGGAGGATCGAGTTTTGAGGCCAGCCACGGCAAGTAGTTTGCAAGATCCATGTCCAAAAATAACCAGAGCAAAATGCACTGGAGATGTGGCTCTAGCGGTAGAGCCCTACCTTGCAAGCACAAAGCACTGAGTTTAAACCCAAGTCCCACAAATATTTTTTTAAAAAGAGTTCTGGCTTTATCATTTCCCCCCTCTTTGTTCTTATAAATCAAAATAAGAATTAGTATCCTTGAAAAAGTAACTTTGAAATGAATAGCCACATGTCCAAAAGTAAACCAGATACTTTTGTATTTGCTAAAACTTAAGTGAGTCTCCATGTTCATAGTCTTCACCTTTTGTTAAGGAGTGTGTCATTTCTCAAAGTCTAAGACTTTCTACGCTAGTCACCAGTTTTCAATTTTAATATTTGTGGACAAAAACAGTATGTAAACATGGTTCACTGTATATTTTAAAGTACATTTTATTAGACAAGTGTGCTGGCACATGCCTGCAATCCCAGCATTTGGGTGGCTGAGGCAGGATGATTTTGAATTTGAGCCCAGCCTAGGCTACCCAGTGAGTTTGAGACCCTGTTTCCAAAAACCACCAACAGGCAGGGGTGTGGCTCAAGTGGTAAAGTGCCCGCCTAACAAGCACAAGACCCCAAATTCAAACCCCAGTACTGCAAAAAGGAAAAGAAGAAATCAACAATAAAAAAGGACATTTTTAATAGTGTCAATGTGACCCACAAGGTCAGAAAATATTTCTTGATTTTTCATATTTAGTGAAAACATAAAAACATCAAATTTCAAAATAGAATTTGATGATTTTCAAAAACTATTTTCTGAAATTCTATTTAGACACAGAACATATATTACATTTGCTTACTTTCTCTAAGCATTTAAACTCCTCCTATTGAGAACTTTAAATTTAAATCCCAGTTAAGTCTTAACTAATTTAAAAAGTAGTATAACTACCAAAGTGTAGAATTTGAAAATATTTTATGATAAATTTTGTTGTTCGGTTGGTTTTGTTGGGACAGGGCTTCATGTAGCCCAGGCTGGCCTCAGACTCACAGTTCTCCTGCCTTAGTCTCCCGAATGCAGGGATTACAGATGTGCACCACCATGCCCGGCAAAGATAAATTTTTTAATGTGCTAATAATAAGTCCATGTCTCACTAAATTTTGGTGAAATTAAAAATTTACTTGAGAGAATAACAAATTTTAAAGAATAAGCCTAAAAAACGCATTCAACAAATGTTCATGAGGGCCCACAGGCCAGTCACTATTCCAGACATTGCTCCTGGAACAACATCACAGATACATTAGTGACTCAAGCCAAGACCCCTAACCCCACAGAGGTTACATTCTGTATACATAAACCTAATTATTAACACATAGTAATGGGGGCTGAAACTAAGCCCCTTCATTACTCCATAGAATTTTGGGATTTTTTTTTTTTTTTTTACAGTCCTGGGGTTTGAACTCAGGCCTCATGCTTGCTAGGCAGGTGTTTTACCACTTGAGCCACTCTGCCAGACCTGTTTTGTGATGGGTGTTTTCAAAACAGGGTCACAGGAACTGTTTGCCTGGGCTGGCTTTGAACCGAGATCCTCCTGATCTCTGCCTCCTGAGTAGCTATGATTACAGGTGTGAGCCCCAAGAGCCCAGCACGCTGGCTAGTTTTGATAGGGTCTCACTTTCTGTCAAGGCTGGTCTGGATCATGATCCTCCTATTTCATTTCACACTGCCTGCCATTGCTTGGATGACAGGTGTGTGCCACCATGCCCAGCTTTTTCCATTGAAATGGGAGTCTTGAAAACTTTTTTGCCCTGGCTGGCTTTGAACCATCATCCTCCCAATCTCAGTCCCAAGGAGCTAGGATCACAGGCATGAGCCATCGATGCCTGGCAGAATCTTTTAGAATACTATGTTCACTACTTATATTTCTAAGAAACACGTAACGAATCAATACAATGCAAACCTTAAGTACATACTGGTCTAAACTGACTGGTGTAATACTCTGCTCGAAGAAACTCTTGCAGGTCTTCAACATTGTTCAGTGTTGCACTCATACCAATAATTTGAGTTGTTTCTAAAAACAAAACAAAACAAACAACCTTGAAGTACTAAGAAAATGTGTCACTTATACCATAAAGTAATTTTAGCAACATCTTATGCTCTACATTTCCTCTGAGTGACATGGGAAAAAAGGGGAAGCAGGGAGAGGTAAGACAACTACAAATAAATGTTGAATATCTTTTACCTTCACATAAATGCCTGGGACCAGAAATATTTCAGATTTTGATTTTTTTTTTCAGGTTTTGGAATACTGGCATTATATATCAGGAAATATCTTGGGGAAAGGGGATCCAGGTTTGGTGGGATAGGTTTGGTGGGAGAAGAGGACAATGATTAAGACTAAGGGCAGATAAAAGCTTGGTGCTTTCTGTGGCAAAACGGGCAAGAGGATGAGGCACTAAACTAAAAAGTAAGAGTCAGAAGGGGCAGGAAGGAAAGAATTTAAAGTATATTCATGAGCCAAGTGTGGTAGTCCAGTGTAATCCCAGCACTTGGGAGGCAGAGGCAGCCTGGGCTACATAGTGAGGCCTTGTTTCAAAAAAACAAAACTAAACAGCAACATCAAAACAAGACAAAGAATACATTCACAAGGTGAACCAGATAGGATTTGGTGGCTGACAGAATGTGTAAGACTTTACCCAGGTACCTGGGAGGCTGAGGCAAGGAGTAGCACCTGAGCCAAAGAATTTAAGGCTAGTCTGGGCAATAGTCAAGGCCCTATCTCTTTAAAAAAAAACAAAACCAAAATAATCTGGCTGCTGACTGGCTGGCTGGGAATTCAAAGTGAAGAATGAGTTTGAAGGAAATGAATACACCTTTGTTAGCGTTAGCTATTCACGGGACATTCAAAAAGGAGCCTCCAGTTGGCAGTTATCATTTAGAAGAGAGGTGTAACCTAGCACTACATATTGGGAAACAGATTGAGAGGCATCAGCACACAGAAGTTCCTGAAGCCAATAGGATGGGTAACAATTAACAGGAGCTGTAGGAAACAAGGGAAGAGCCTAAGGTGAACTGATGAAATTCTGGTAACACCATATACACAATGAATAAGCTCAGAAAGATGTTATGAAGAACAACAGGAAGAAAAACTACAGAAGTCAGTTTACTTGTGTATCTACTAAGTATAAGGTGCTGGTGACAAAATTATATAATAGCAAACATGTATCTGCTATGCTCAATACTTTACACAGACTAACTCATACCATCTTCAATGCAATTCACAGGAACGTTCTACTTGTCACCTATTTGATGCCTAAGGAAACAGAGGCACAGTTAATATAACTCACCTAGTAAAAGTGAGCCAAGAGTCGAATGTAGCTCTAGAGCCATTACGCTGTTATCTGTCAATGCTAAGACATGATCCCTCTTTCAAGGAAATAGTTGGAAAGCCAAGAAATAAAGATGTTCAATTCACTGCTGTATCCCTAGCACTTAAAATAGTGCCTGACAGACAGTAGGTGCTGTCAAAATTTTAGAAATAATTCTTGGGGGGCTGGGGGCATAGCTTAGTGGTAGAATGCATGCTTAGCTAACATACTCCCCTAAAAAAACGTTAAGACTCAACCTTTATAGTGAATAATTTTTCCATATATAAACTAAGTTTCCATATATAAGCTAAGCACTACAATATCATATCAATAGAGATGATATTTATAATAAATTATTTCATGTACATTTAAAGAAAACTGGATGCTGCAAATAGTTCCTTGAAGTGACTGCTTAAATATACCGCTTTACTGGGATCATGATGGTGGTGACGGCAACAGCAACAGCAAATGGTTATGGAGTGCTGTGTGGTGGGCACTGCAGAATGCGTTACATGTGTTAGTGCATTAACTCTCACAGTGACCTCATCAGGTTGGTGCCATTATCATCTCCACTGTGCAGATGAAGAAGCACAGAGGGTAAGTGGTGTGGCTAAGCACACAACTAGGGAGCAGAGGGAATAAAGGACTTCTTCAAATACTAATTCCATTTATCTTTGTAATTCTCTTCATCCATCTATTCCTCCAACAAAAATTTATAAGCTTACTTTAGAAATTCATCTAAGACAGGAACCTTAAGTGTCTTGCTTCAGGGAACATATCTAGCAATAGAATTAAGTCTTTTGAAGGCCAGTGGAGTGGCTCAAGCAGTAAGAGCACCTGCCTGGAATTAAGTCTGTTGTAGCTAGGTCTCTTGATTATAAGTCAGTAAATACTTACTGCTAGTGTAGAGGATTTTTGCTAGGGTCATTTCCAGTATAGCACCACGGCTCCCCTCACCAATCATGTGCAACTTTGAGATTAAAAAAAAAAAGGTCAGAAGTAAATCTTCATATAATGCCTATATAAAACAATATATTTGCATGGAATGAATATATATATATATATAGAATAATAAATGCAGTGCTAAAACAAAAATGTGACTAAATTACAAAAGCAGTAACCAACCTCATCTACTACCACCAGACCCAGACTACTAATCCTTCCAGTTTCAATCAAGGAGTTCACCAGGCTGTGCCCCTTTTCAATAGTGGCAATATACAGTGATTTCTTTTCTCTTCTCTTAGTTGGAGGAAATCTTCCTTTGCTTCCAGCATATTCTTCAACAAAGAAACCAAGTTCTATACCAAAACTTGACAAACCTGCAATCTAGAATATTAGTTAAAATAAATAAAGCCACAAATGAATATGAACTCCAATTATTAAATGCTTAAAGCGACTTAAAAAAATAGGTAAAGTACCCGGGTGTGGTGACTCACATCTATAAGCCTAGCACTCAGGAGGCAGAGTTCAGGAGGATCTTGGTTTGAGACTAGCCTGGGCAAAAACAGAGACCCAATCCCAGCCAATAAAAGCTGGACATGGTGGCACGTGCCTGTCATTCTAGCTATGAAGGAGGCACAGGTAGGAGAATCAAGGTTCAGACAGGCTGTGGCATAAATGTGAGACCTTATCTAAAAAATAAACCAAAAAAAGAAAACAAACAGGGCTTGGAACATGGCTCAAGTGGTAGAGGGCCTGCCTAGCAAGTGTAAGGCCCTGAGTTCAAGTTCCAGTCCACCAAAAAAGAAAAACATAAAATAAAAAACAGAACTCCCAAACACGTAAAATAGTATTTAATACCAGTCAATGGGAACAGGAGGTCAAGATAAGACATACATATCTATGAAATACTTTAAAAATAAAGTGTTGATCTTTGCAAAATAGATGAACTTTTAAATTACATATAATGTGACTATAAGTTTAAACTGCCTCCTTTGAAAAACATCAGAATAACTTATTCTGGTAAAATAACTGGTTAGTTTCTGCTAAATATTAATAGAACACTTAAGATGGAGTTCAAGCTACCAAGTTAGAAAAAATAAAACTTTCTATAATAGGTAAGCAGTATATGAAGATATTTTAGGAAAAGTAATGCTACTTTTGTACATACTAAAAATAAAAACTCCACCATGAAGAGATACTTCTTCAAAATTGTTACTACATTTACATTAGCTTTTAGATCTTAATGTCACAATAATAGTAGCAAATAACATTTATTTAGAAAAAAACATACCTTTTCTTGGACAATTGCCACATATGGAAGGATCATTAAAACATCTTTCCGTCGACAAAGTAGTTCCTGTAGCATCAAAATCTCAGCTACAAGGGTTTTTCCACCACTCGTTGGCAAGGAATATATTAAATTTTTTCTTTCTTGCACAGAATTCAGTGTTAAGCAAGTATGTTGCCATTCTGTCCAGTTTAAAGAAAGGAAAAAAAGTGTTACTTTCCACTTCCACATTCTCAATTTCAAGAAAGATTTCCAGAGCTGGTGGAGTGACTCAAGTGGTAGAGTGCCTGCCTAGCAAGCATGAGGCCCTGAATACTACGAAAAAAAAGTTTTCCAAGAAGAAAACAATCAAATTCCTTCCTGTGAGGCAATTTCTTCGTAACAGGAAATGTATTTGTAATCAGTGTTAAATGCCAAAATGCACAGGCCTTGTCAGAGGGTGAGTAGCTAGCCACCTCATCATCAGCTGCAGACTTCCATGGGGACAGACCAAGCATCTACTGTATTTGAGGAGCAAAAGGACAGTGTAAGATCACGTGTGAGGCGAGTTTGGGACCTGGGATAGGGAGAACCTGTGTGGATTCTAAGGTCTTCCTTTTACATTGTGCAAGATCATATAAGCTTATCTTCTTCAAGCCACCAGAGGTTATCTCAAGAGAAATATGGGGGTGTAGGGAAGGGGAAGAGACATGAGGTTTTATAAAAACCAATACAAATGTCAATTAGCTCTCTTGGGGACCTGAACTTTGAATGGCCAGAATACTATTTTATACTGAGATTATTTAAACGACAAAAGAGTAAGATGAGAGAGAGAGAGAGAGAGAGAGAGATTACTGATACATGTGGAGTTCTCCTAATTTAGAAAGGTGAGATTCATGAAAACATCATATCCAAGGGATGGTGTGAAAGCTAGTATAGCCACTCTATAGAAAAATTTGACAACCAAATTGATCATCAAAAATCCTCAAGCTGTGCATCAGTGTTCAGTGTTTTATTATTAGAAAAACAGGCAAATGAATTAAGACAATTCATACTAGGAAGAAATGCAAATGGCCAATAATAGAAAGGTGCCCAACTATAATCTACTAGGTTGGCAAAATAAACAGACTTTCAAGAAAAAAAAAAAAAAGTAAAGATGCCAGTGGCCCAAGCCTATAATCCTAGCTAGCTACTTGAGAGGCTGAGATCAGGAGGATCATGGTTTGAGTACAGCCCAGGCAAATAGTTCACAACATCCCATTTCCAAAGTAGCAAGAGCAAAATGGACTGGAGATGTGGCCTTCTGATGTGCAAGCACAAAGCCCTGTGTTCAAACCCCAGTTCCACCAAAAAAAAAAAGAAAAGAAAAAGAAAAAAAAAGGCCCACATTAGTAAAATAGAGCTGACTAGAACTAGAGAGGCATTCACTGTGTGGTTTGTTCTAACAAATTGCTTCAGGCCTTCTGGAAAGTAACTTGGTATCAAAAATAAAATTGGACATTGACTTTAATCTACTAGTATTACTTTAAGAAGTCTACGCCTATTAAAAAAGCAGGAGGATGTACAGACTACGTGCAGCATTTTCCTCATGCCACCATTGTCTACAGACAACAAAGTGGTACAGGGTCAGGAAGAGTAAGGTTGAATGAACTATTGCACAACCATATGTTGTTCTTTATAGCTTACAAATAACAATCTAAAAATGAACAAACTATATATGTTCAGGATACAGTAAAAAATATTTTAAAATAATCATGTATTAAAATGATGGGCCTGAACATGTTTTTAAAAATTAAGACAATGACTAGTAGGGTATATTACAAAGGTACTAAAATAGTTATGTCTGAATGACATTTACAAGTGACTTCATTGCATTTTTTAATGATTCTCAAACACTTACAGTGACTTTTTCTTTAAAAAAAAAAAAATACTAGGCTGGGGATGGGGGGACTGGCTCAAGTGGTACAGTGCCTGCCTAACAACCATGAGGCCCTTAGTTCAAACCCCAGTACGCCAAAAAAAAAAAAAATACTAAACTGGCATATAACTCAGTAATAAAGCATGTGTTTTAACCTGGGTTTATAAATAAATAAAAATTTCTGAGATATATAAATATTTTAAAATACTGCAATCTGTTATCACACGTTAGTTATCAAATTACAGATCTTTATGCCAAAGTTTAGTCCTATCACATTTTTATCCAACTCAGATTTTTTAAATATAAGATGCCCCAACAACTACTATTAGGAATAAGCATATTTTTTCCCTTCACATATTAAATAATACATTCTATTAATATAAGGATACATGTAAGTCTAATGAAAAGAAGGCAAAGGTAATAGTACAAAATTGAGGTCTCCCGCTCAGTGGTTTGCAAACTTTTGGGCACATCAGAAGTCCCAGAGGTTGTTAAAACCAGGTTGCCATGTTCCATCCACAGGTCCTAACAGGCAGTAGGCTGGGCCCTGGGGATGTGCATCTCAATGTTTTAACCTGGGTTTATAAATAAATAAAAATTTCTGAGATATATAAATATTTTAAAATACTGCAATCTGTTATCACACGTTAGTTATCAAATTACAGATCTTTATGCCAAAGTTTAGTCTTATTCACATTTTATCCAACTCAGATTTTTTAAATATAAGATGACCAAAACAACTACTATTTAGGAATAGCATTTCCTTCACATATTAAATAATACATTCTATTAATATAAGGAAACATGTAAGTCTATGAAAAGAAGGCAAAGGTAATAGTACAAAATTGAGGTTCTCCAGCTCAGTGGTTTGCAAACTTTTGGGCACATCAGAATTCCCCAGAGGTTTGTTAAAACACAGGTTGCCATGTTCCACTCCACAGGTCCTAAGGCAGTAGGCTGGGCCTGGGGATGTGCATCTCAAGTTTCTGGGTCTTGCAGATGGTGCGGTACAGGAACTGCACTTTGAAAAACACACGTGTGTGCTTAAAATTGGTCATGTTACTAAGCCAGACTTACAGGTAAAAAGAGAATTTAAATGTGGTTACTTACAGAAATTCTAACTTAAAAGCTACCAATATAATTACTGAGCCATTACCGTTATCTAAGTTGTCATGGCTGTGACAATGAATTATTGTGCTTTTTTTATAGATGCAGAATTAAGTGTTTAAGTGATAGGGTCACAATTCATAAGGAGGCTGACAATTCCAGTACTTAGGAATCTACTCAGTCTCCTACCCATGTGCCAGTTACAAAAGAAAAACATGACTTAGAGCCCTGTGCTTAAGAATTCCTTCTTGTCAGGTGCTGGTGGCTCATGCCTGTAATCATAGCTATTTGGGAGGCAGAGATCAGGAGGACAGCGGGGGCAAATAGTTTGCCAGACTTTATTTTGAAAAAACCCAACACAAAACAGGGCTGGTGGAATGGCTCAAGTGGCAGAGCACCTGCCTAGCTAGAGTGAGGCCCTGAGTTCAAACCCTAGTATCGCCAAAAGAACCAAAAAAGTAAATCCTTCTGACAGGAAATGCAGATTAAACAAAGAACAAAGTGCTAAGAGAAAGGCAGAGGGAAGAAAGTTAACATCCACTTCAAGATTTTAGCTCTTTAACCAAGGCCCTCACAATTTAGAATTTCATTCTTATAATCTCTCATATAATTCTTAAGATCCCAAAATGAGTTCTGGAAATACTTATGAAGTGATAGGCTGATGGGCAGATCTCCCAATATAGCAGCAGCTGTTGCTTCAGTAATTTTAAATTACACATTTAAAATATATGCAAGAACCCAGGGTGTTTTTTTTTTTTTTTAAAGTGGTACCAGGGCTTGAATTCAGGGATTCATGCTTGCTAGGTAGGGGTTCTACTATGCTCCCAGTCTAAGGACCAGGATTTTTGAAAAAACACTACAAGATATACTATTATTATCACTATATTTCTTTGTACTTAAATATTAACTACAGTTGTCTTTAAAGATGCTAAATTTTAACCGATGGTATTACTGACTTCTTTCATTTAAGACACTTGAGTGTTCAAAGGTATTACAACAAACAAATTTGGTAGAGAAGACAGAGCCAACCAATACCAAACTGGATCAGCTAGATCATCAGAGAAAAAACTGGAAGCACGACGTCAAGAGTTGTGGGTTTTTTAGGGATTTGAACTTAGGGCTTTGCACTTGCTAGGCAGGTATTCTAGTGCTTAAGCCATGCCTTTGGCTGTTTCTAGTATGGTTATTTTGGAGATAGGGTCTTGCTTTTTGCCCAGGCTGGCCCAGACTGCAACCTATTTTATGCTTCCTGCAGTAGCTGGGATGACAGATGCACACAACCAAGCCCAGCTTTGTGAGATGGAGTCGCACAAGTTGTTTTTGTCTGGTCTGGCCTGAAACCACAATCCTCTGCATCTGGTCTCAACTTCCCATGCAGCTTGGGATAAAAGACAGTGTGTCACAGTGCCCAGCTTACTGGTTGAGATGGGGGTCTCTAGAACCCAGGCTGGACTCTAACCTCAGTTCTCCCAATCTCAGCCTCCCAAGTAGCTGGATTACAGGCATGAGCTATCAATGTCCTGCTACAAGGAGAGATTTAATAAGCGTGAGGTCAATAGTAGCAGGGAAGCTACTGAAAAGTCAGGTAATCATTTGAAGTATCACTGGGTTTACACACAGTTGTCATTGTATCTAAAGTGAGAGCATGGAACCCAGAACTGAAGTGGGCTGAATTACTTAAAGAAATAGAGATAGCAAGGATAACTGGTCTGATTGTATAAGGAAGGAAAGAGATCCAGTATGGCAGGATAAGATGGAAGGTTGAGAGACAACTGATAGTTTGATTTTTCAAGATGAGAAATACGACTGTGGAATCACTTGCTTCTATTAATTTGCACGAATATATGGTAATGATGAAAATCTTTGCTTTCATTCCAGCAAAAGCATTACCATATAATTTCTCAATTCCTTTGAGTTGAACATAAAGATCTCTCACTTTGCTGGGTAATGAGTAAAAAGGACCACGGTCATCTGATGGCGATTCAATTGCTTTCTTAGCAACATTAATTTCCTTGGATAGGAGTTTCTCTTTGAGCTGTTTACTCTTAGAAAATACTGGTGTCTGGGCCTTGGCGTTTACAGTCATAGCACTTTTTAGATGATCTTTCACACTTTTCCTCCTATTCATATCTGAACTAGTTCTGACTTTAGAAGAGAATTCATCACTTTGCTGGGGTTCTTCTATGTGACCGAGGAGTTCTTCATTCATAGTCTTGTAAGAGAATGAGTTCCTGTCCTTTTCTTCAATAGACCTATCACCCAAATCATTTGAAGAGTTCTGCAAATTTTCAAAGAATAAAACCTGAGAAGAAGGCACAGCATACAAAAGATCATCACTAGGTTCCAGCGGGACATCTTCATGTTCACTCTGGTTCTTTGTGTGCAAATCAGTTTTATACTCAGTACAGTTGCTTACAGCTGTAATGCTGAGCTTGTTTTTGATGTTTTCTGAACACAGATCTTCAGTGGCAAAGTCTGCAGCATGTGTCTCATGTTCAGGAAGTTGCATGAATTTCTGTTCCAAATCATCAACTTGTGCTAAAAGTGAGTTTTCTGCAAAGCTATCATAGTCTCCAAACATGTCCTCTTCACTGTCGTTTTGCTGCAAAGAAAACAAAACTACTTATGGGCAATTCCAGTCCAGGGCTGTACCAAGTACATAATTATATGTGAAACCAGGCACCCATGGCTCATACCTGTAATCTTAGCTATTTGGAAGGCAGAGATCAGGAAGATCACAGTTTGCAGCTAGCCAGGGCAAACTGTAACTGAAACCCTATCTGGAAAATACCCAACACAAAAATGGGCTAGGAATGGCTCAAGTGTTAAGAGCACCTACTTAGCAAGTGTGAGGCCCTGAGTTCAAACCTCACTACGCCAAAAAAATAATTATATGAAAGTCACCCTATGAATAGATGTTATCTATAAAGATGTTATTATTACCTTTAAAAATTAAAAAAAAAAAAGTCAAGAGAGGTGAAGCGACTAGCCGAAACAGTGCTCCTGGAGTGTTGTGCTGATACTGGGATTCTAGTTTTATATTATTATTATTATTGTTGCTACAGATTGAACCCAGGCAGGCTCTACCGCTGAGCTACGCCCCTGGTATTCGAACTGTCAATTAAACCTTTGCTAAATCCTCAAAAAACAGCACGAATGGTAGACATCTATTGGGATGTCAGCTAACTAGAAGTGTCTGGTAACTGCAGCAATCCTCTTCCAAACTCTAAAACAGAGACTGACCTGAAACAAAATTATGGTTGTACTACTAGACACTACAAGGAAACTCTGACCTGAATTTGGAGTTGAGACAAAGTGTGACCACTAGCTTGGGGTGATGTACTAAACAGAAGATACAGACTGGGAGGTAGCAATATAGTGAAGTGATTAAGAACCCAGAATCTGGAGTCAGAACTGTAGTTTCTCAACTTTTCAGGGCCTGATTACTGTTAATAAAATCTAGATAATATAGCTAGTTTAACAAGTAACCCGCACGTAATGGATCTCCAGTAAACAGATTTTATTAATAAAGTAGGAGCAACAGTAATTTCAAAGTCTTGGTTTGCGTCTCAGTCATGCCACTTAGTTGCCGTGTGCACAACTTTTATGTCTGGGGTCTATGTTTTATATCGACTTACAAGGGGAAAACAAAGCAATACCTCCAGAGGGCCGATTAACAGCGGTAACAAAATCTTAAAGGAAAAGGCCATCATCTAACTGGTCACTTGTTTGCACTTGGCAAGAAACCGCCGAAACCTTGCAGTCTCAAGTCCACAGAACCTGTCTGCCACCCCGTTGCCTGGGCGTGCGAAGTTGGAGGCCTGGGTTCCTATCGCCACCCCAAGGGTGGGTAACAGAACAGGGTCTCCGGGGAACTGGAGCGCGACAGGGCTGTACCTCGACCGCCTGCAAGCCCACGGTTTTCCGCCGCCGGCTCCCAGCCATCACGTCTTCCTCGTCCTCCTACAGGGGAAGAATACTGGAAGGGACCTGTCAAGGCCCCTTGGAAAAAGGAAAGGAACGCGGAGAACGACGAACCATGGCAGCTATGGTTGCTGCTTGGAAGGGACCTGTCAAGGCCCCTTGGAAAAAGGAAAGGAACGCGGAGAACGACGAACCATGGCAGCTATGGTTGCTGCTTGCAGTGGTCTGGGGAGGAAGAAGTTGACACACTATGTAACGGCTGCTGTCTGTCTTCCAGATCGTGGAACTCGCGCAGGTGAGGTCTCCATTGTAGCATTGCGGTCATTGCCTTGGCTCTAAAAGTCGGTGGTTTTCACTTAGCAAGCCGGCTTTCACGCGCTGGCCTCTAGACGATTGTTTCTCCAAATGGGTGAGACTCTAATCCCCCATGACTAGTGTTTTAAAGCTGCAGGGAACGTGGAATGTTCCGTCAACCCATTTTCAATTTCTTTTTTATTTCTATACTTCCCTAACAACCACGACTCTCGGGAGAGTCTGTTACTTTTTCCCTTTGGTGTGACAATGCTTTTCTGTTGCTTGTCCGGTATGTCTTTGCATTAAAATCTGTAACTATGGAATGAGGAGAAAGTAAATGTAAGGAAGAGATCAGGTAAGCGGTTGTATGGGTGGGAAGAGATACTCCCTTTCTCTAAAGTCCTGGAAATCACTCACTGTGAGTATAAAGAATATAAAAAGTTTAATATTTTACCCTTTAATTCGTCTTGCTTCTGTAAGACCAAAAATCTTTACTGGCTGTTCAGCTAGCGAAAAGAATTGGTTTATTGCTGTTTCTGTTTTAATTGCAGTGGTATGGAAAAGAGGTTGTTCACAACATAAACAGGTAACCAGCAATGAGGACCTGGTAAGATTTTTTTTTTTTATGTATATAGTAAGGCACTAGAAAATATGACCAAATTCTTGTATTTTAGCTATTTGTTCAGCTATAGAACAAAAACAAATAAGATACAGTTGCTTAAGGAAGTTTTGAAGTTAGAATTCTTAAGACTCCTAGCAAGCAGCATGGCTGATGTAATACCATATCCTTCCTAGATAATATAAGAATGTTATTTGGGAATTTCAAAATGCAGAATTGTAGATAATTAAGGCAGTATGCCTTAATAAGTAGGGATAAAAATTAAAGTTTTGCACCAGGACATTTAATACAGCTTCTTCTAACCTGTAGGTGTATTTTTATGGGTTTAAAGTACTAACATGGACTTGGGCAGTGTAAATTTCCCCATTACAGGCAAAGATAATTTGACACTAATCATACCACACAAAGCATGTTGCAAAAGAATATAGTCAGTCATTACATGTGAGTGAATATAAATTGGATTAAGAAAGTTTGAGGATTTGGTAAAAACTTTTTAAGGCCCTCTGTGTATCCATCTTGGTCATCTAATTCAGTCACACTTGAAGAAATTTATTCCTTTAGGTCATAAATCCTACTGAGACTAATGAAAACTGTGGATTCTCTTAAGAAAAAGGGCACACAGTTATATTCATTTGAAATTCTGCATTCGATTATTGACTTCAAAGCCATTTCTTAACTTCAGAACCTCTAGCATGTGGTTGTCCATGCCTGTAATCCCAGCACTCGGGAGGCTGAGGCAGGGGGATGGCAATTAAAAAAGAAACTTTTTCTGCTGGTACTGGGGTTTGAACTCAGGGTCTCATGCTGCTAGGCATGTGCTCTACCACTTGAACCACTCTGCCAACCTTTTTGTGTTGGGTATTTTTGAGACAGGGTCTTGCAAGTTATTTGCCCCAGCTGGTTGTGGACCTTGATCCTCCTGATTTCTGCCCTGAGTAGCTAGGATTACCAATGTGAGCCAATAGTGCCTGGTAAGGATGATAAGCTTGAGACCAGTTTTGGCAACATGGAGAGAAATCAGGTTATAAAGTTGAACTCAAAGAATCTTTTATCACATAAAGCTATGGAACATTATCTATTTATAAAATAAAATTGTGATAAAATGCCTAATAGAAAAATATGGAGATGAATAAACTGTTTAGCAATTATACTAACTTAGGAACTGCATGTTACCTATTGTGCTATGCTTTTTTAAGAAAATTAAAATAAATCGCATTAATCTTAAAACTGTTTAGTCATCTACAATCTGAGCAAAACATCCGAACAGAGAATCACTTCGTATCAGACTGAATTTTTTCCTCCCATAAACCTGTTTCTGCAATTATTATTATTCCAGAATCCTCTATGAGTTAAGTCCTCCTTAGCCAAAATGACACAAAATATTGTACAAAATATTTACATGGAAAAGTGCTATGTGCCTCGGATGGATTTAAATGTAATAACCTTAACATTTTTTTTAATTCAAAATAAACTCCTTGTATCATGAGCTTTTCTTTTATCCTAGCCCATTCCAATGGAAAATCCTTATAAAGAACCTCGTAAGAAATGTATCTTGTGTGGGAAACGTGTAGATTATAAGAATGTGCAGGTGAGATCTGGCTTTACTTATTATACTTCAGAATTTTGCTCCTTTTGTTAGTCTTGCTTAATGAGAATCACATTAGTTTTATAGCAGGCTTTATTTAGACACAACTGAGCAACTTAATTTCAAATCTGGTTATAATTTTACATATAAGTCATCTTTATCCAATTAAGAGCCCATTGGCTCCACCCGCATTTACTATTTTTTCAAATTAGTATAGTTGAACTTCTCCAAAGTTCTGAATAACAGCTCACCATGGCAATGTTTCTCAGTTGATGGGCATTGAGTGTCTTGTTGAAGAAGCTTTGATGGAAGCTTTGTATCTCACCGTCCCTATCACTGCTTCAAATATTATTTCTACAAGTGGCAAATTTGGGGGGGAGTGAATGATGCTGGAATTAAGTATATTGGCAGTAGTATAAAGTGATAACTGCCTTTGAGGGAGAAAAATCTAAGAAATTATAAAAATACAACACAGTAGGGAGACTGTGCAAAGTGCCAAGAATAGCACCTGGCACCTGAAAAGTGCCAAAGTGTTAAATAAATTACAACAAACAGCCCAATGTATGTGTACCTCTTGAAAACCTCAATGTGGTCTATCTTCATGATTATGTGATCATCTATCATGACAGATGAAACATTTTAGTAGCTTCTTAAAAGTAGTGTTTTAGCTATCTGTGGAAAAGTCAAGAAAACAGCTTTTGCAATGAATGAATATGCTGATTAATATTATTTAGCAATAGAGATTTTTGATGTACTAGACATATGCTAACTTTTGTTATTACTTTATTTAGAAAGATGATTTCTTAGGATATTTTACCTCATATTTTTAAATGTCTGAAACTTATAAATCTTCATATAACTTGAAGGTCTTATATAAAGTTTTTACGGGTTTTATTTATTTATATATTCAGGGTAGAATGATATATTAATATCATTTTTTTCCGTCCCCAAACAGCTTTTGTCCCAATTTATTTCTCCATTTACGGGATGCATTTATGGAAGACATATCACAGGTATTGTTTTTAATCATAGCAATTTAAATATAAGAATTACATCAGTCTATTCTCATTGTAGGAAACTGGCAAATTTTCAAATTGTGCTATAAATCACTATTAGGCCAGATGCTACAGGGACTGGATTTAGATACTCAGAGAAGGCCTCTCCTTGAGCCTAAAGGGTTGTTTTGTATGTTTTGTTATGCTCAGACTTAACTACAGGCTGATAACATACAGAAATTTGGGCTTAAATTTGTTCTTGATATTATGAAGTATACCATAATCATTCCTAGAATAAAACTTGGTGTCAGCAAACTATGCCCATTGATAGGCCAGATACAACCTGTCATTTGTTTTTTTAGTTTTGTTTACTATAGTGGTACATGATTGCTTTTGAGCTATAGTAGCAGAATTGAACAGTTGTTATAGACTGTATTGCCCACAAAGCCTAAAATAGCTACTATTCTAGCCCTTTACAGAAAGAAATTACCAACCTTTGACTTAGAAAATTGTTACAATTTTGAATATTGGTATTTTCTTACGAATAAACATTTTTCTCCCAAATTTTATAGGTCTTTGTGGGAAGAAACAGAAAGAAATAACAAAAGCAATTAAGAGAGCTCAAATACTGGGTAAGTGTACTTGAACAACTAAGTTGTATTACTGAAAATTTTGCTTATTATTTTTTTGTAAAGAACTTTTTAATTATCTCTTTCCAGGGTTTATGCCAGTTACATACAAGGATCCTGCATTTCTCAAAGACCCTAAAGTTTGTAACATCAAATACCGGGAATAAATTATATGAGGTTTATTGCCAATAAACTTATTTTATAGTAAGTGATCGGATGTCAGTGCTGACTCAGACTAACCTTTGGTTCACACCTGTAGTCCTAGCTACTTGGGAGGCAGAAATCAGGATTGCAGTTTGAGGCCAGTCTGGGCAAATATTCTTGAGACCCTACTTCAAAAATAACTAACAAACACAAAAAAGGGCTGGTGGAGTGGCACAAGTGGGAGGCCCTGAGTTCAAGCGCCAGTGTTGCCAAAAAAAAGGCAAAAAAAAAGAGTAAAGCTTTCCCTATCAATGGGTTTACTAAGCAGACTGCATACCTAAATGTTAATACTAATTACCTAATGTTAATACTCATTGCATTGTACATATTTTTGAGTAAAAGTGGTACTATATGATTGTCACTAATGTCTGGTCCCAATAGTTCATATAATATTATACCACTGATATTGAAATAGGAGATAATGTGGGAAGGATGGCTTATATTGGAATTCTATTTTAGCCCCAGACTGTCTTACAAATGGGATGGTTTTAGGGAAATGGGTGTAGTAAAGTGGAATGCTTATACTATGTTTGGATCTTACATGACTGGCTATGGATTAAAATTTCTTAGAATTGGGCTGTGGAGTGTGGCTCTGGCAGGACATCTTACTAGCAAGCAGGAGGCCCCGAGTTCAAATCTCAATACCATCCCCTATCTCCAAAAAATCACTTGGAATCTTTTTCTAACTAGAAAATGTAAGTGTGCATGGTAAAGATAGTGGGCCTTCTCTTTGTAGGTATGTACGTTGACACGGATATTGAGGTTATCACAGGAAACAAAGCATTTTTTTCCTGGATGAGTCTGTAAACTGACGGTGTTCTTTACATAAAGAGATTATTCATAATCTCTATCAGCAATTATTAGGGTCCAGACTGACAGCCCTGATTCTCTTTCTCCCACTGTATGTAGTTACTTATGTCACCAATAAAACACAACCCCAGCAAATTATGCCTATGGCTTCAAAGATACCCCATGACAGTTAATGCATGTTAATGCAAAAAAGTTTTGTTGCTAGATACAATTATCTCTTAATAAATGTATCTAGAAAGTAATAGCTGGAAGAGCAAAGATCAAAGTGTGCATTCAGCATTGTGTCCAGTGAGCGAAACATAGTGGAAGCTTCATGTGTGACATGTATACTTCCTAAAGTGTGTGAGAAAGACATATAAATACATTTGCACTTATAGCAAAATGTGTTTTGAAATGTGGTCTGTTTTGCCAATGCTGGCCTCCAACTCCCGAGCTAAAGCAATTCTCCAGCCTTAGCTTCGAAAGTGGCTGAGGCTACAGATGTGCACCCCTGCATCAGCTTAATGTCATCACTTAAGGAGTAAGAATTTTAATGACTTAGAGAAAAATAAATGTTTATGTAAACTTTTATGTTTCTATGCTGTAAAAATATGGCTCGTCTTTCCAATTCCAAAAAGCACTGTACAAATTTAAAAGAATAGATCCATTTCAGTTCTTCCCTTGATAATTTAGAAAGAAATGTAAAAGGTTTTGATTTTTAAATAAAAGCCTCTTGGGCTGGAGATGTAGCTCAATGACAGAGCACTTGCCTAGCATGCAGGAGGTTCAATCCCCAGCACCATACATACATACATACATACATAATTATAAAAGCATCTAGTATTTTTTAAAGAACTTTATAAAAAATGCAGAACTTATCCTGTATTACTGTAAACAGATGAACACAGTAAAGACAAAATACGTTATACAAACTGAATATAGTAAAAACAAATGAACATTTCTATGTATTATTGCAAGTAGATGAACACAGTAAAAACAGAAACATTTGGTCTTACCCTTCATTCAGCCAAATAAAAAATTTCATTTTGGATTAAAAGGATCAAAATGTGGGAGACTGTGGGTATTCACCAGAACTCTTCATTTTTCCAATCTCTTCATCTGTTTCTGGGCTGCTGGATGTGGATGCCTTTTCTTGGTTACTGCTATCAGTACTTGTCTTAGGTAGTTTGTTTTCTAACTCTAACAGCCGTGCTTTCTTCATTTGCCATCCATCATGTGTGTCTGAAGCTTTACGCTTAATCATCCGTGGTGTCACAGCTGGATTAGCTTTAGGAGTGTGAGTGTATGGTACCATTAAGGTCAGGTTGTCCACCACATCAAGATGGTGGTTGATATTACATCTACTTTTAGAAATATGCCTATTTTTCAAAAAGATAACACAAGAATGAAGAAATTCACAATCTGGAAAAAAGGTCCGTAAAGCTTGACAGAGAAAAATGTTCTCCTGTGGGTCGTTCTGGACGTTCTCTCCTGAACAGAATAAAACAACAGTTCAACATATATTTGTTCCACAAAGCTTTCATAATTAGCTATATATCAGTAAAGTAAAAATGATTTCAGTAAGTCTATCATATTATCCAAAGTGTAAACAGCATATATAATCCCAAACTTCTATTTATATGCCCTACTATTCTAACAGAAAAAGTTATATGCTTTAATATCAACAAATACAGCATACCTACTATAGAACCATGTTCTTGTTCAGTGAGATTTACGAGTATTAAGGAAAGAACTACTTTTAATCCAGGGTGGACAATTACATCAATTCGTACAGTTGCCTTGTCCACTGAGCCATAATTCCACCAGTGAGAAAAGCACGGAAACTACCGGAGTTTTAACTGTTTGCTTACGTGGCGTTTGAATACGTGCTTGTTGTCTTTTTCTAATTTCTTCTTTTAACCTGTTTACATCCTTTATTAGTTTATCTACTTCTTGCTCGCTTTGTTCCACTCTTCTGCATACACTCTGCAAAATAAAGACATAGATAAAATTCCTATCCTGTAGCAACAGAGTGTAAACTCACAGATAATATAAAATCCTCAGTGATATGTAATATGAAATACTGTTTTCCTTTCATATAAATTTTGTTTTCTGAAGGATCTCAATAACAAGCACTCATTTGGTGCTCTACAGATTATAAAATGCTCAGATATTATTTTTTTAATTTTAATACTGCATTTTATTTAACCCAATATATCCAAAGTATGACTTCAAGAAATAATCAACATAATAAAATGTAATAAGATATTTTATGTCTTTTTGTACTAAGTCTTTGGTGAAAATTTTTCATTGACAACATTATCTCAATTTGAGCTAGTCACACTTCAATTCTCAATTGCCAAATGTCATTCTGATTTAACGTTTATGAATCAGCCTGGTACCTGGCATGTGGTGTATCGTTTTTAATATGATTAAATGAATGGATAGGTAGATGTGTGGAAGGATGGGTAGATGTACTGTTATTTCATTAAGAAATTGAATGAACTTTCTGTGACTTCTTTCTCACTATCAATTATACATTAAGTATAATTAAGCCTTGATACAGCTCAATGTTACTATTAATAGGGTAACTTCCATTCATTCTTCCTTCAAAAATCACAAACACTGTCACTCTTTAATGCCTTTTAGGCAAAAACAATTCTGTCAAACACTAGTCAGAAGAGCTACCATTCACACAGGCAGACTTACTTCAGAGAGAGCCTCAATTTCCCTGACCATAAAATGAGTACTTACCACCAACTCTGCCTTATAGGCTTTTTATAAAATTCAAATGAAATAGTGAAAACATGAAACTACTACACAAGAAGTAAGGCACCAAAGGTATCCCATTATAAAAATACATCATATGCGCTTAGAATGTTGGAAACTTCAATCATGTCCGTAGGCGTGCATGCATGCATATGTAAGCAAATAAAACTCTGGACAGCTAATGTTAAATCAACATTTTAACTTTGAACATTATTACACATCCCTCCTCCCTTCAAAAACCACAGACATCATGATCACTCTGATTTTCCGGGGAAAACACCAATAGGTTTTCCGAGGCATCACACTCAGGAGTTTGCAGACCTGGATGGAGCTCTCCTTTGGAGTGGACAAGAAGGACTGGGGCAAGAAACAAGGAGATTGTGAGCTCAGAAGGCACAGAAGTACCCAGGATGGCAATGACATCACTGGTAGCCTAATGGTTACAATGTGTCTCCACCCATGCCATGCCCAAGAGCTGAGTTGTAGTAATTATTCCCTTTCATTAAAATGTTTGTGGGATTAGAAAAGGTGTGAAGCTGAAATCAGGACTTTTTAGAGGCACGATGACCACGTGGAGAGATAGAAATGAAGATGGTCAATTTGTGCTGCTCACTGAGCAAAGTCACCATCAACAGCCTTGACAAAAAGCACTCCCTTCAATACTCCATGACTACCTGACCAAGGACCAGCACAGTCCACCCTCTGGCAGATGGCAGAGCTCATCTGACCATCCAGCATCCTAGTGGCATAATGCTCAGATATTATTAACTTCCCATTTTTCATGGCTTTATCATCATCAGTTATAACAGAAATAAAGTGAAACTTCAATCCCCACCTCTGCAAAAAAACCAAAAAACACCCGAACAGATGTAAAGTTACTGCACACACTTAACATTAAGAAACTGACAATAAAAACAAAGACAAGCGACTGTGTTTTACTTCTATGAAAAGAAAACATGAAGGTTTTTTTTTTTTTTTTTGTGGTACTTGGGTCTGAATGCAGAGCCCTGTTAGGCAAGTATTATCCCACTTGAGCCAAACCCCCATCCCAAGGATTTTAATTTAATTCCTATAAGAGAAACTACTTATGAAAAGCAAGCTGGCCTTATGTGTCTTGGTTTTTAAAGAATGAGCAATTCCATTTGAGGAATATATCTTTTTTAACAAAAATATTATATAAGATGATGTTTCTTAGTATTAAATCAAATGTAGTGAATTTCAAATTATGGGGTAAAAGTTAAGTTGTCATGGCTAGTTTTAGTGGATACGTTTCAGAATATCTGCCCAGCACTATTCAATTAGGAAAGACATGGAATCAAGGAAAATGTCCACTGGAAGATGAATGGATTAAAAAAAAATGTAGTCCATATGCTCAGTGAGACACTATTCAGCCTTTAAAAAGACCAGAACCTTGTCATTTATAAGAACAAAATAAAATAGACCAGGCACAGAAAGGTTAAGTACTATATAATCTCACTCATATGTGGAATCTTTCAAAAAGTTATTTTGTACAGAGCTGTAGGCATGGATCAAATGGTAGAGTGTTTGCCTATCAAGTGTGAGGCCCAAACAATGTATGTGGGTAGATGTAAAAACAAAATACATTAAAAAAAGAGAAAAAAAATTTTATCACAAATTTCTGTTACCATGACTGTCAACTATGTCAAAGTATGTATACATTAGGGGAAAAGATGGAGAATAAGGCAGAGTGGAAATATTTACATTAGAATGGTGAGATTTTGGGGTGTTACTTCCTAAAATTTCTGTATTCATATTTTAATGTGTAACACCAGTGTGTGAAGTGTGTTACCCCCTTTCTCTTAGTGTGCCCTTCTGATAATATGGTGACCACACCTCGTTAGCTCTCTTAACTAGGGGAGCAGTTACTGACAATCCCAGCTTTGCCCACTGTTTCCTTTTAAGCCATGCTTCCCAAGGGCTGTTACTAACCCATGACTGAGAGCACAGTGGGACATCAGTGCAAGTCCATGCCTGAAGAACAACTTTGGGGCAACTCTGCTCAATCAAGGACTCTCCATCAGTGTGGCTGTACTTTTTAGGAATGGTACTGCAGTTTGAGGCTCTTTATATCCAATTGTCCTCCTATCCCCTTCTTTCTTGGAGGTCAGGTTTTTGTTGCAATCTTCCTGCCTGTTCTTGTTCCTTCTCCTTTATCTTACACAGGGCCAATAAACCTTGCACTTATCTTCTGCTCCTATCTTGAGGTTACTTCTCAAAGAACCTGCACTGACATATGAAATAGACTGGGATACTGTGGTAGTTATGCTCCTAAATATTTGCTTCCCTCTTCACCTTGTAAAAAGATTATGTATCTGCCATGTGTTATATTCTGGCCAATGAAATGTGAGCGGAAATGACAATTCTGAGCTAAGTTTTAAGAATTTCTATCAGTTTTCTTGCTTTTTTTCCTTTTGCCACAAGAACATGTCCCAAATAAGGGCTGCTCCTTCAGCCTGGATCTTGGAATAAAGGTGACATCTGAAATAGGAATGGTTACAGCCAAGATATAATGAGAACAAGATTAAGCTTCTGTTGCATACCACTAAAACTGAAGTCCATTATAGCAGTTAAAGGGATAAAATACCTATCTGATGTCAGGACCCCTAAACATTTCATAATAATCAATTTGATATAAACTTTAGAAGTGGTCTTTAGGTGCTTGATGTTAACTTACCTTTAGTTCTTCTTGTAAGGAAGCATACATTTCATTTATCTTGTGTACTTCCTTTAAAGATCCATCTTCTTTGAAAAAGTCAGAGCTGTAAAAGAAAAATCATGATTTTCATAGTAAAGTGTACACAATTTGACAGTAGACAAGTACTAGAGAAGTATGGAAGTGGTAAAAATAATCTAGTTTATTTGAGTAATATACTCATTTGATCAGTTTTCCTATCATTTTATTTTTGTTTGTGTAATAAGGAAACTAATTTCAAAGGAATCTTACCTGTGTGCTTTTACTGCTCTGTTAAAACCAGTGGACATACAGGAACCTGATACAGTTTTATAACCCAGTTGTTCAGACATGCCCAGATTGGCAACCACCAAAGGTACCCTATAAAAAAGTCTGACAAAATAAAATTTCAAAAACTAAATTTAAAATAAAATGAATAGTCTAATGATCAGAATAGACATTTCCCCAAAGATCAAAAGTTTAAAAAAGCAATAAACCAAAAAGACCTTTTTTTATTACTTACCAAAATAAAATTTCCCACTTGAGACAACTTGGAAGTAATTAGCATTTTTTTTATTAGCAGCATGTAACAGTTGTACAGGGGTATACATTGTGCTATTTATATATATGTTTACAGTATATCTTAACTAGATTCACCCTCTCCATTCTCCCTCATTCCCTCCCTTCTTAGAACAATTTCAACAGTTTTCACTGTTCTATTTTCATACATGAATACAAAATACATCCACCATATTCCCCTTCTTTCAATTTTTTCTTTTGCCCTCCCCCCTCCACAAATACCCATCCCCAGACAGGATCTGTTTTGCTTTCCTGTCCTTCATTTTTTAAAAGTGTATATTGATAGTCCAAGGGGGTTTCACCTGGGCATTTCAGGCATATATATACTGTGCTTTAATCAGATTAACCTCCCTATTGCCTACTCTTTATTGCCCAGGTTTCCTATTATTCAACAGCTTACAATGTATTGAAGTGTTTCAATATTTTGAAGTGACTAACTTTTGTAAGTCTTGAAGTGTTGGGCTGGTGGAGTGGCTCAAGTAGTAGAGTGCTTGCCTAGAAACCCTAGTACCATAACTAAATAAAGTTGTGAAGTGTTTATAGTGTAATAAAATTTTTGAAAAAATATTTTAATGGCTATTTTAATTAATTAAGTACATGTGGAAAAAAAAAAAAAAGCAGAACAGCTACTTGGGAAGCTGAGGCCAGCCTGGACCAGATAGTGAGACCCTATTTAAAAAATCAGAGTTTTTTTCTTTTTTGGGAATACTGGAGTTGACCTCAGGGCCTTGCACTTGCTAGGCAGGCACTCTATCACTTGAGCTATACCTCCCGCCTGTTTTGATTTTAGTTACTTTTCAAAGTAGGGTCTCATGCTTATTTGCCTGCGGCTGGCCTTGGACTGCAATCCTCTTACATACACCACCTGCATAGCTTGGAAACCATACCTACTTTTTTCTTTCAAAGAGGGTCTTGCAGACTGGTACTCACACCTGTAATCCTAGTTACTTGGGAGGCTGAGATCAGGAGGATCACAGTTCAAGGTCAGCCCAGGCAAACAGTTCAAGACTTCATCTCAAAAATAACCAGAGAAAAATGGACTGGAGGTGTGGCTCAAGTAGTACAGCCCCTGCTTTGCAAGTATGAAACCCTGAGTTCAAAACCCCAGTCACAGCACCACCGACAACAATTTTTTGCCTGAGCTAGCCTTGAATTGAGATCCTCCTATCTCTACTTCCTAAGTAGTTGGGATTACAGACCTAAGCCACAATAACCAGCCACAATATGAAAATTTTTAAGCACTGTCACAAGTGGAAAATTCCTTAGGAGGATGAGGCATGAGGACAGTGAGTATGAGGCCAGCCTGGGCTATACATTTGAGTTCCAGGCCAGCTTGGGCTACATAGTAAGACTTTTATCTAAAAAAAATAAAATAAAAATACCAAAACACAAGTCCACCCTGACTTCTGTGAAAAGTCACAGTCAAAGCCGTGTGAAAAGCCATGCATGGTGGCCACATCTGTAATCCCAGCACCTGGGAGCTGATGCAGAATGACCTCAAGTTCGAGGCCAGACTGGACTAAGGGAAAAACCCTGTCTCGAAAAATCTAAGAACAAAACAACAATTATGTTAAATAAAAATACTGTATAAAATTAACTTCAGGCTATGTGTATAAGGTATAGATGAACTTTTTGTTTAGACTTGGGTCCCATACTCAAGATGCCTCGTTATATATATGTAAATATCCCAGAATCTGAAATGCACACGATCCCAAGCATTTTTGGATGAAGGATATGCAACTGTAAGGTTTCATGGTTGAGATTTATCCTATGTTCCATGAACAATAAAATTAATCTTGATTAGTACTCTTCTAATGTAATTCTTCCAGTCAATGAAAATGTAGCTTATAAGCCTAAGGGGAGTCCCCACCACACTCATTTTGGTAGTCCACCAAGAATTCCCTTGCTTCTTTATAGAGTGAAAAACTGCTTCAAGTGCCCAGGCTTAAGTTATACATTGTATCCTTATCAAGCAACACCCCCTCCTTCCCCACCAAATATTTTTTTCTACTTTAGACAGGGAAAGACAACAAATCTTCAATGCTGGAATACAAGTTATCATTCCATAATGGGTTTGAATTTCCCTATCTGAATTCCATTTTCTCATCTACAATTATACTTGGTAAGACTACTTCACAAAGCTATTGTGACAGCCTAATACAACACTGTATGAAAACATTTGATAACCTACAAAAAAGTACTATAAAAATATTAGGTGTATTTTTTTTGTATGAGCTTAAAATGGCCAGCGACCAACTAACATTTACCCCTTTTGAGGTTTGTATAAGGCATGTTCTAGCCGGTGAGTAGAGCAGCTTTCTGTTACTATACTCGGTGTTAACAGCAGAAAAACAAGTTCTTGGCTTGAAAGATGTTTCTGTAAGTTTTTGTGAAGCAGTCTCTCTCTAAATGTCATGATCTGATCTGAATGACGACGGAACTTGTACCAACCTACCACATTCTGTAAAAAAAAAAAAATAGGAAAAAATTAGATGTCTAATAGTTACAATATTATTACCTCTTACTATAAGTTATTAATAAAAATGATAGTCTTGAGAAGGGCATGGTGGTACATAGCTATAATCCCAGCACTCTGGAGGACTACAAATTCCAGACTAGTTTGGGCTAGAGAGCCTGTTTAAAACAAAAACAAAATGAAACAAAGTCTGACAGTCCGAATAGTTTTCTTAATAGTTGGAAAGGCTTGGGCATATAATAAAGAATGTATTAGTTATGTGCTTCGCCTTTGCAAAGTATGCAAACTTAATTACTTTCTATTCAGTTAAAAGGCTACAATTTTGATGGATATGGATTAAAGGGAAAAAATCTTTGAGTTACTTTAGTTTCTATTATGGCATTTGCTATATTGCATTCTTTATCTTTAGTCAGTAATTACATTAACTATCAATGCCATTATTTCACTTAATAGGCAATCCATCCTGAAAATGCATTAACTTCCTGTATGAATATTTGGTTTAATAAATAAGTTGGTTTCACGATCATGTGAAAGGATTTTGGGTTTTTTGCCAGTACCAAGAGTTGAACTGAGGGCCTTGAATTTGCTAGCAGGTGATCTACCACCTGCAAAAGGGTTTTATTAAACTGCAATATGCTAAACAAATGTACTATTAGTATTACTCAACTGTTTAAAACTGGAAAATTATCATTTACTGAAAACTTAGTAACACAGAAAAATAACCACTTTAATTCACAGAAATCTGTGATAGTTTCACCAACTGAATTTCACATAAAGTAAAAAAACTGTTCCCAGTATTTGAGAGGCTGAAGCAGAATTGTGAATTTGAAGCGAGCCTGGTTTTTTTTTTTTCAATTGCCCCTGTTCTTTTTAAAAGTAAACATTTTTACGAGTGCATTTTTAAAATACCAAAATATATTTATTTATTCTTTTATTTTTTTTCTTTTATTCATATGTGCATACAATATTTGAGTCATTTCTCCACCAAAATATATTTAAAAAAAAAAAAAAAGAAAAGAAAAAAAGAAACCATTTCAACTAGGGATGTTTTTTGAAAGAAATTTCTTTTTTGGTTTGTGATACAGGTGATTAAATCCAGAGTGCCAGGCAAGCACTCTACTACTGAGCTGCATTTCCAGCTCTCCCTCTCCCTTTTTTAAAAATTTTATTTTAGACAGGATTTCATTAAGTTTTGTAGGCTGGTCTTGAATTCTATATCCTCCTGTGTGAGCCTCCTGAGTATATGGAATTACAGATATGTGCCACCACCCTCAGCAATTCAGAGAAATTTATTTTACTTAATCCACTTTTATTCTCAAATCAGAGATACAAAAGTTTTAAGAGGAAAAAAGTAGCACTGTAAAAAATTTTTGTATTTGGGAAAAAATCCATCTTGATTATTCAACAACTTTTAACTCAACACCAGGTATTCTGTGGAGGATTTAAATTAAGTGCTATACAGGAAATTGTCCCTGCAGTTACAAAAAAGAGTAACTTCAAAGCCAGGCTTGGTGTTGCACACCTGGAATTCCAGCTACTTGGGAGGCGTGAGGTCTACCTGAGTCCAGGAACTCAAAACTAGCTTGGGCAACACAGTAAGACCTCATTTAAAAAAAAGAAGTGGTACAGAAATGGACTGTTGTAGAGTAAATTGTACTGGGAAAGGTTGTGGTGGAAATACAGAAGAGAAAGAAATCAATGTTAACCAGGTGGTTAAGGGAAGGATGAGGACAAGGTTTATACTTTTAATGACTTTATGTTGTCAAAGCAACTTTTTTTTTTGTGGTACTGGGGTTTGAATTCAGGGCCTCATGCTAGGCACTCACTCTACTGCTTGAAACCCTCCACCAGCACTTTTTGTGTGTAGTGTTTTTGAGATAATGGCCTTGAGGACTATTTGCCTAGGCTAGCTTCAAACCACTATCCTCCTGTTCTCTGCCTCCTGAGTAGCTAGGATTATAGCCATGAGCCACCAGCACGTGGCAAAGAAATCTCTCTTAATGTCTGGGAAGAGTAAGTTTTTTCTTACCTGCTTTAATGGATACCATGTAAAGAAATGCACTATATTTTTAGGAACCCGAAATAATGCAAAGAAAGGTACATTAAGAAATACCTTTTTTACTCTTGAAAATATTTTCTTCAGTGCGTGCTCATTTACTTCACCTGAAGAATTGTAGAAGCTATAAAAGTCAAAATTAAACAGTTCAAATAAGCTAGAAATTTGAATAATTTTATTAGCATTTTTAAATTTTACTTACTCTTAACCCAAACTACCCAACCAAAATCCACACCTACTTGCCTGTCAGATCAAGTCTGAAGATAAATAGTAGAGAAAGTTCACAAATTAACAGACTTAAAATGGTAGAAATATGAGGTCCATAAGCAATGATAAGGAAAAGAAGTAAAAAACTTCAAGAAATAAGTTTGTGCAACACATTTTCCCCCAAAACAATATGAGCACTGGAAAGTTCTACAGCCAATTCACAATTCATTGTTTACTATTTTTTATAATGCTGATACATACAAAAGAATGCACATTAGCAAAACAGTAATTTATTCATTGCTAGTCCCAAAAGCTGTACGGTATAGGAGACAGCTGGATTTGGTTGGGGAGGCAAGGAAGGGAATAGATTTGTTTTAGTTCAGTTGTCTTTTGAGTGTCCAAAATTCAGAAAGAATCAGAAGTTAATTCTAAAAGATTCTAAAGCACTTACTTCCAGCTTTCTTTCCCTTCCTATAATAAAGATAAAGATTGCAAATAATATTTCCTTCCCTTTAGCATCAGATTAACAATATTCTATATAAATATTCATGAAAGTACAGTAAATTGAAAAACTACATGCTAGTCAACAATGTTCTTACTTTTTAACTTACAACCTAAAATTTAAAATGTTTCACCTACCAAAGCTGACCATAAGATTCCTCTATTTTACCTATCTATTATAGTTCCTATAGGAAAAAATATATATACAAGAGTTTATTACTGTATTTCTCTATCATGGTTCACTTCTCAGCTTCCAAAAGTGGAGGATAACGCAGGATGTGTAAGTCGTAGGCTAATAGTGTACATCTGTGAGAACACTGATTTTGTTGAGTTTCTGGACAGAGGATGAGGCAGTGAATTTTTATATAAAAATAAACATACTACTAATCCAGGCGCTGATGGCTCATGTCTGTAATTCTAGCTACTCAGGGGGCAGAGATCAGAAGGATCAAGGTTCCAAGCCAGCCCTGGGCAAATAGTTCACAAGACCCTATCTTGGAAAACCCATCACAAAAAAAGGCTGGTGGAATGGCTCAAGGTGTAGGCCCTGAGTTCAAACCTCCCTACTGCAAAATAAATAAATAAAACAAACAAAGTAAACTGGGCCGGGTGGTATGTGCCTGTAATCCTAGCACTGGGGAGGTGAAGGCAGAAAGATCATGAGCTCAAGGTCACGTTAGACCTTGATATAACTAGATCCTGTCGCAAAAAAATAATATAAAATAATAACAAAAAAAATTTTTCAAAGAAACCCAGGCATTATTGGATCAGATGGTTTCTGCAGCTCTAGGACATAATAATAATTTGTCTAATTATGAATGTAGTTGCCTAAAGATACTGAATCACTTTTCACTCTCTTTCTTATTCCTTTATTAGTCTTAGTGGGTTCCTTAAGGAAGTCTTTTTTACGAATTCCTGTAAGAATTCCTTAGTTAATAGATTACTTTCGTATATTAAGAGACTGCAACAGGTGTAACTTTTCTTGTTACATCAATTTAAGAGCACACTAAGCCCTTTTACCTGCCATTCCCCCACTACAGGTGTTTCTTACCTTAACCATGTGTTTGGAAATGTATACATAAATAGTGTGAATGTAGAAATGATTTTTCTTGTGTGGCTTATGTAAGTCATAAAGTTATTTCATTAAGATTAGATCATGTTATGGTAACATATGTTTGCTTTATAAAAATTCCATTTATTGTTATGTTTTTCTATGTGTATGTTATACCTCAATAAGAAGTTAACAAATAAAGTATTATTAGAGCTAGCAGTTTTGTAGGACTGAGTATAAAACTATCATCCTAAAAAAAGCAATAGGAAACAGATTAGATAAAGAATATAACTTATCAGTTAATTATTTTTGCTGCCTCTCTGAATAGACCTGACTGATTTACATAAAAACACTCTTCCTCTAGAAAATAAAGTCCATCTCTTTCAGCTGTCAGAACATCTAATCCTTCCTGTTTCGAAGAGCAAAGAGTTGCCAGAGTCTACTTGATTCTGAAATGTAACCATGGTTTTTGCTATTTCTTCCAGGCTGTCAGAAAAGTCTTTAGAAAATTTTTGGTAATATAAGACAGAAGTGGTTAGCAGGGCATCAGTGGCTCACACCTGAAATCCTAGCTACTCAGGAGGCAAAGATCAGAAGGATCACAGTTCAGAGCAAGCCCAGGCAAATAGTTCCTTGAGATCCTATCTTGAAAAAACCCATCGCAAAAAAGGGCTGATGGAGTGGCTCAAGGTGTAGGCCCTGAGTTCAAGCCCCAGAACCAGGAAAAAAAAAAGTTTTATAATATATGTGCATATATATATATATATATATATATATATATACATATATAAAACTAACAGTCAGAAGATAACACTAAAAAATATAAGAAAACATTTGCTGAAATCAATTGCATCAAAAACCAGGAAAAAAAAAAAGTTTTATAATATATGTGCATATATATATATATATATATATATATATATATATATATATATATATACATATATAAAACTAACAGTCAGAAGATAACACTAAAAATATAAGGAAACATTTGCTGAAATCAATTGGCATCAAAAAGTAGAAAAAGGACTGTATTGATTATGACAACAATGTCACCCACTGAGCTTGTATAATATGCATTGAGGTAACAGGGTGTGAGGAGGAAACAAGCAATTCTCAAGATAAACTGCTATGCTGAGAAGCAGTAGAAACCAGCTAAAATAAGTAATATAACATACAAAGGATTACAGACAAGGTTGACATGCACAAGCGAATCTTCGGGTATTTAAAAATTCCTTCCACATACAAATGGTAACTAAGATATTTTGTTAGTTTTGAAAATTATTTCACTTTCACAATGGATAATTTACTTGTTTTTACTAATATTTTACTCACCTAAAAAGCTGATAGCATGGAATATATTTCTGAATGTCTAGGGAAAAAAAGATTTTTAGTTATAACATTAATAATCATTTGACTAAACACTGTGTCTTTCTTATTATCTCTTATGTTTTCTCTTCAACAAAACTGGAGAACAGGTACTGCCCGGAAAAGGGGGGTTGACCCAAACAATGTATACACATGTAAGTAAATGTAAAAATGATAAAATAAATAAAATAAAAAATAAAAAGCAATATCCAAAAAAAATAAAAAGCAATATCCAAAAAAAAAACCACTTGACTAAAATACTGAATGTTTACTTCATGCCAGAAAGAACTTTACCATTGACTATCTCATTTAATCTTTAAGTAAGATATGAGACAGATGCCATCATTTTTCCTTTTTCAAAGATATGATAGGCAGAGAGGTTAAGTGGCTTCCTAAGCCAGAAGTAGGGCTAAAATTCAAGCCTAAATTCTCATTTAGAACAGTGCTATATTCTTCTAAATAATGGTTTAATGGCTGCAACAAAAAGGTTAAGTTCAAAGTTGCTGTATTTTTATTGAGTACTTAAAAGTTATGCTCTAAATTTACCCAACTGTTAGGGGGGGGGGGGGGGGGGGGGGGGGGGGGGGGGGGGGGGGGGGGGGGGGGGGGGGGGGGGGGGGGGGGGGGGGGGGGGGGGGGGGGGGGGGGGGGGGGGGGGGGGGGGGGGGGGGGGGGGGGGGGGGGGGGGGGGGGGGGGGGGGGGGGGGGGGGGGGGGGGGGGGGGGGGGGGGGGGGGGGGGGGGGGGGGGGGGGGGGGGGGGGGGGGGGGGGGGGGGGGGGGGGGGGGGGGGGGGGGGGGGGGGGGGGGGGGGGGGGGGGGGGGGGGGGGGGGGGGGGGGGGGGGGGGGGGGGGGGGGGGGGGGGGGGGGGGGGGGGGGGGGGGGGGGGGGGGGGGGGGGGGGGGGGGGGGGGGGGGGGGGGGGGGGGGGGGGGGGGGGGGGGGGGGGGGGGGGGGGGGGGGGGGGGGGGGGGGGGGGGGGGGGGGGGGGGGGGGGGGGGGGGGGGGGGGGGGGGGGGGGGGGGGGGGGGGGGGGGGGGGGGGGGGGGGGGGGGGGGGGGGGGGGGGGGGGGGGGGGGGGGGGGGGGGGGGGGGGGGGGGGGGGGGGGGGGGGGGGGGGGGGGGGGGGGGGGGGGGGGGGGGGGGGGGGGGGGGGGGGGGGGGGGGGGGGGGGGGGGGGGGGGGGGGGGGGGGGGGGGGGGGGGGGGGGGGGGGGGGGGGGGGGGGGGGGGGGGGGGGGGGGGGGGGGGGGGGGGGGGGGGGGGGGGGGGGGGGGGGGGGGGGGGGGGGGGGGGGGGGGGGGGGGGGGGGGGGGGGGGGGGGGGGGGGGGGGGGGGGGGGGGGGGGGGGGGGGGGGGGGGGGGGGGGGGGGGGGGGGGGGGGGGGGGGGGGGGGGGGGGGGGGGGGGGGGGGGGGGGGGGAAATGAAAATGCCTTTTCCCCCACTTACCAAATTGGCAAAGATTAGAACTAGGGATATAGCTTTTATACAGTGCTTGCCTAGCATGCATCGAGCCCTGGGTTAAAAAAAAAATTTCATAAAGCAAAACAAAACGAAAAACCTACTACAGAAAACTCCCTATGTATTTTAAAGTACCATTTTTTTTTCTAAATCGACAGTTGCCAAGAGCTGTTTCCTAGTTTCCCTATGGCAATTTTAACTGCTTGTTATGTTTCATACCACTGCATAGAATACAGAATTTTAATTGAACATAAGATTCTTTCTAAAAAATTAGTATATTTCAACAATTTAAAAATAGTAATTTATAGGGCTGGAAGTGTGGCTCAAGTGGTAGATGAATTCAAACCCCAATACTGCCCCCCCCAAAAAAAAGCAATGTATGCTGATCCATTTCAGCATAAACTATCAAAAACAGATAAGTGACTCACCAATTGTATAAATAACTTCAACATCATCCATTTGGGAATCAGTAATGCTATTCTTGGCTTCACCTTTCACTTCCCCAAGGAGAAAACCTTCCTATGAGAATAAAAACAGGAAATAATATACAGAATACATTGATAGAATGACTGTTCACTCTCTTAACATGTAAGTTTTTCTGAGTATTTTACAGCATATGCAAGCATGTGCTAGTGAGCACAGGAAATGCAAAAGGTGCTTCCAGCTTAACTGGAAAGCACAAACAGTAAATAACAATGGATACAAGGATTATAAATACCACAATGGCCTGGCATAATTGGAGCAGGCCCAGTGGAGGAGGCAAGAATGGAGTTAACTTTAAAGGGCTGGACAAAAATCTGTGTGCAGATGAGAAGCACTTAGCATACGTGGAAACATAAAAGGCAAAAGCCAGCCTTTGAGGAACTAGCAGAGTACTTTGCAGAAGGCTCCTATTTGTGAGGATAGAGTAGAGCCAATAATGAAACATTCCAAGTGACTAGCCAGGGAGTCTGGATTATAGAAGTGCTTCTAGGAGCCGGTGGAAGTTTTTAAGCTATGAAATGAGCGTTTTCAGATTTAAAATTGTGAAAGATGTGAAAATTTGTGCAAAGTATTAAAGATTAAAAACTTGGAATTCAACTTCAAATTCTGCTTTACTTTAGTAAAGGGGTGTTCTAAGCATGACTCTTTTAAACGCAGGCATTTTGCCACAGTGCTGGCAATTTCTTTGCATTTCAGAAAATTTAGTTAATTCCTCTAGGTGTATTTAAAGACTCAGTGTGCTTGACAATGAAATTTTACCTTCTTTAAAATTAATTAGGTCAGGTGCAGTGGCTCAAATCTGTAATCTTAGCTACCCTGGACGTGGAGATACGGGAGGATTATGGTTTGGATGGAGGCCAGCTCTGACATTAAGTTTAGAAGGCCCCCATCTCAACCACTAAAAGCTGGGCATGGTGGCACGTGCCTGTCATAGGAGGCTCCAAGTCTAGGCCTGCCCAAGCATAAAGGGAGACCTTATCCCAAAAATGGCAAAGCAAAAAGGCTGTTGGCGGCTCAAGTGGTAGAGTGCCTGTCTAGCAAGTCAAGGCCCTGAGTTCAACCCCAGTATTGCAAAGTAGTAATAGCAATGACCCCTCCACTTCTTCAAAGAAAAAAGCACAAAGCAATGTTTCAACAATGTCTTTAATGGAATCAAGGGGAAGGGGTGTAAAAATCAGGAACAGTGCACTCTAGTGTCCTTGACTTTGATACTCCTAAAGACAAAAACTGGGAAAAGCAGCAGAGATGCAAGTGCATCCATCAAGATAACCACCCTTGAAGACTTTACAGATCTGAGAAACCAGGGTTTTCTGTTAACACCAAGTACGGAAATCAATCACCAAGGGCTACCCCTTTTAAGCTCCATTCTGGGGCTGGAGGAGTGGCTCAAGCTCCAGTCCCACCAAAAACAAACAAAAAGAACCCATTCTGTTTATGTTTATTCTAAAGATATTCCAAAATAAGTTCCACAACTACACACACGTTTTAAATTGTCATATATTTGTTCCTTACTAAGTGGTAATTTGAAGTATTGTACATAAAACATAATGATTCCAACCTTTATTAGGCTTGTACTGAAAACTGTTACCCAATTTTAGATAACCCTGACCTTACATTTTAAAGTGAAGGGCACATTGTATACAAATTACTAGACACTGTTCAGTATGGAGTTCTCGAAACCGTACTGGTACGGATTTTTAGATGCTTCTAATTTCTGTCGGCAAGTTAGCCCTCCCCTACTACTAGGCGCTACTCGAAAGTTCCAGGAAACGGGCGCTGCTGTATTTCAGTTCTCTTCTCAACGTCACCCAGTGGATCGGAAGCTAGGCAAAAGTACATAAAGGCCCTTAAACCCCTAGCGTTTGAAGGCAAACTTCTGTGTAAGTCATAACCGGAAGAAGCGCTGTCTGGGGCCTCGGGATGTGCGGGCAGTGCGCGCACTCACGTGCGGGACGCGCGGAATTAAGCCTGGCGCGGAGATTCGCCAAGCGCGGCCCTGAGCTTGCTCCCGCGCTGCCGTTGGAGACGACGCGAGTGCTCGGTCCCTTCGCGCGGAACCTACTCGTCCCGGGACTGGCGGGCCAGGAAACAGGGGCGCTGGGGCGTGGGGCACTCGGGTCGGGGACCAAGGCTCCTCCAGCAGGAGGCACCCGAAGGACCGCGAGGGCAGCGGCGGCCCGGCAGGGATGGGGAAGGAGACCGCACGCTCGGCTCACCGTGTCCGAGTCGGTGTTGAGGTGCTGGAAAGCGAGCGCGCCGAGCACAAAGCCCGAGAGCACCGCAGACGTGCTTTCGCCATCCATGCTGCCGCTCCCGCGCCCGCCCCCGCCGCAGAGACACCGGGAGAAACGGGCGGGGCGCGGAGCGCCAGGACCCCGACGCGACGCAGCAGCAGGGCGGGGCCGGCGAGGGGGTGGGGCCTGCGCCCGTGCGCTGGGCGCTCCGCGGTGGGAGGGGCGAGCGCCCCCTGTCGGCTGGGCGGTGCCGAGGCGGTGGGGGGCGGTGCCGAGGCGGTGGGAGGCGGTGGGCGGGCTCCTCCCAGCGGTGCGCTTCTGCTGACCCTGGTGCTGCTGACACTGTGCGTGGGCACCGCAGTGGGTGGCGGCCTGCGGCTCTTATGCAAAACCATACAAATGAATACTGTTGATAGTTTTAAGACAAATGTTGGTTTTCAAAAAACTGCTGAACAACTTACTAATACCACAATGGGCATGCTATGCTCATGGTTTTCAAATTGCATTGTCCTGCTCTTCCCTCTATTTAAATTTATAGAAGATTAATAACCACGGCAAGGATGGTCTTTGTGCGTAGGGAATTAAGTACCCAGTCTGATACCGGAGTGGATTGTTGTTCCCCGGGTTCGTGTCCTGGCGCAGTCCATGACTGAAGACACCGAATAAGCAGTTCACAGTTAAAGCAAGTTCATGACACAGACCAGGAGGTAAGAGCAAAGCAAGAACAGGTTTATTGAAAGGATACCAAAGCACTCTGATAGGCGGGACTTAGTGAGAGAGCTAAACCAAAGGGTGGCCGAAGTACATGAGATTAAATAGGCACCCTAGCTATAACTGGCTGTTCGATTATCTTCTTGCTGAACCCAAGCATCTGTCAGGTCAGGAGATTCCAAGAAGTTCTCTTCACTTCATCCTGTCCTTGAAACTTACCACCTACATTTTGTGACTACTGCCCATTATTGTGGTGAGGCCCCTTTTGTTTGTCTTGGGAAAGTGTGCTAGGTTGCTCTCCTTTTGGGGTCTATATCTCATCCCTTTAGGAATATTTTATCTTCTTTTCCTGGTCTAGGAAGAGAAACTGTGTCTCAGCACCTGTGTGCTCAGTTTCCCTAAATGTTTTGCTTTTAAGGATGCCTTCCTAGCTCCTTCATCTAAAACAAAGTTACTTCTGCCATCCTTCCCTTTACATCCTCAGGGTTATTTCTGCCATTTGTTCTTTGACATCTCCAGGGTTGCCATGTATTCCTAGAAAATGACATTTCTGCCGTTTTATTTCCCCTCACACTAGTCCCCTTACAAGTCTAAAGAATGCGTACACTTTCGATGTCCTGAGAGTTTAATGACAAGCCTAATCCTACTGTCTGATCATTTGGTATAAATGGTAAAGTGAGTAGGGAGACTGAGCCTTGACAAATATATTTTCCACACACGTATGCATGTGCACAGGTGGAAAAGCTATAATTTTTAAATGACTGAAAGTCAACAAAATATCAGTGTAGTGAAGTGAGTTAATACTGCATATTTCTGGGGTTTGTTGTGTGGCAACCATGTCTGGCTGAGAAATAGTGAATGATTATGTATTCCATAAAGTTAAATTTCTTGCCTTGTTTTATCAAAATCGCTGTTGCGGACTTGATGCATGACTCAGGTGGTAGTGCACCTGCTTAGCAAGTGCCACGCCATAAAAGATTTTCATGGGAGTCTGAGGCAGGAGGACCTCAAGTTTGAGGCCAGCCTGGACTACATATTGAGTTCTAGGCCCACCTGGGCTACATAGCAAGACCCTGTCTTATAAATAAGTAAATAAACAAACAAATTAATTTGTGTTTTGAGGGAACTAATGAGCTAAAGAATTAAAAAATAAAATGTAACACTTCCAAGTTATGAAATAAGCTGTGGCACATATGATCAAATGATTTTTTGTTTTTGGAGGTATTGGAATTTGAACTCAGGACCTTGTGCTTAAGTACTCTACCACTGGAATTATAGCCCCAGCCCTTTTTGCTTTCATTTATTTTTCATATCGGGTATTTTCTCCCAGGATCAGCCTCAGACCTCAGTCCTCTTATCTCAGCATCCTGCTGGGATTACAGCTGTGTTCCACCATGCCTGTCAAATGGTGAGATAGAGTCTTGCTCACTTTTTTTTTTTTTGCCTGAGTTGGCCTTGAACCACAATCCTCCCATCTCTGGTTCTGACCAAATGATTTTTGAAACAGTGCCAAGACCACTCACTCAGAAAGGAAAATATTTTCAACAAACTCTGAAGAATGAAGTTCTTACCTTAGGCCATATAGAATTAGCTCAAAGTAGATCAAAGATCTACATTTGTAACAGATGCTTAGAAACTGCTTTTGCTAAAAGAAAAAAAACCAAAAACAAAAAATACTAACTTCATCTGGGCCAAAAGCAGGATAAAAGCAGGGGCATCCCTGCTTCCATTTTTTCTGTTTCCTTTACTCTGAGTCTCTCTCTTGCAATCACCTTGGGTTACAGGAATGGCAGGACCGATCAATAGCATCTTTATGACAAGGGACCAAAGCTATCCCAAAGGAAAAGAGCAGCAGAGACTTGCAGGACAACCCACCAAAAAGAAGACAATTACCTAAAATGATGAGGCTGCACCCTGGAGCAGAGTATTCATCTTCTGGGAACCTGAGATTGCTCCCCTCATTAAGTGATGACAGCAATAACTTCTATGTTACCCCTCACAGAACTAGAGCTGAGATAATAATCAGCCAGGCCCTGCTTTGCCTAGGACTGCTTACTTTCTGCATACCTCTCTCCCCTGCCCAGTTCTTCCTCTATTTAAGCCTAAAGCTCATGTCTATGCCCTTAATCTGGGCTGAAGTGCTTACTTTGCCTCTTCCCTAGGCATGAATGTGCTGTGTAATAAATCTTTCTCCATCCGTCATCACTACTTGTATCTTTATTTGGTATATTGGAGCCAGTAGTCAGACTGACTTGTGGAACCCCTGGAGTTGAGCCTCTTACCTAGAACTCTTGTAAGAGCTAAAACTGTAAAACTCTTAAAGAACATACAGGAGGAAATTTTTATGGCATTGGTTTTGGTAGTAATTTGTTGAATACGAAAGCAAAGGTGTGGATGATAGAAGAAAAAATAAACAGATTGTACTTCATCAAACTTTTGCATAACAAAGTATACTGTCAAGAGTGAAAAGTTAACCCAGAGAATGGAGAAAATATTTGCAAGTGATGTATTTAATAAGAGATTAAAATCCAGAATATATATTTTAAAAATCCAATATATATATATATATATATATATATATATATATATATATATATTCCAGAATTTAAAAAGTTAACAGCAAACTAAAACATTGGTAAAAAACAAACAAAGGGGGGGATTCCAAGATGGCGGCTAGAGGGAGGAAGCAGAAAGCGAGCCTCCTATAGTGAAATCTTGGAGAGATGCCGGAGACACACTTTGCAGGCATAATCACTGAGAAAAGGCATAACTTTGACCCCTCCACACCTCCAGCCGGCACAGAGAATCTCCACTTCACGTTAAATGGAGAAACAAGGAGGGCCCCAGGGCCGCCAGTCGCCAGTGCCCAGATGGCTTGGGAACATGCGGACCAGGTGAGCTTCACGGTACTGCAGTACTCCCACAGACAAGCCTGGGCCAGAGCAGCATAACCCCCTGGACAGACTGACCTCCACCCAGGGAAAAAAGAGAAAATGAGTAATAAGAAATAAGAGCAATAAAGACACGCTGGAAAGAGGGTGGGGCGCCCTGAGCACTGAAGATTGGGGGAAGGGAATCCTTCCTGGGACTGTAAATAAGCCGGGAGGGCCAGAGAGCCGCTGGCGGGAGCGGGGCGCACCTAGCAACCAGGAGTGGGAAAGCTGGTGAGAGTGGCAGAGGGAGGAAAACTCCACAGGAGAGGAGGGAAGACCCACTTCCCACGTGAACTGTAAACAAACATGGCAGCTGGCAGGAGCAGCAGCACAGCTCAGTTAGCAGGAGCAAGAAAGCTTGTGAAAGTGGCGGTGGGAGGAAAACATCACAGGAGAGGGGGGAAGACCCACCTCCCACATGAACTGTAAATAAACACGCAGGCCTGACAACTCGGGTGCAGTGTCACCTTTCCCAGTGCTTGGAAAGGGGAAAGCCTGTAGTACAGGCTCCTGCACAGGACAACTCTGAACAAACAAAGCCTGTGGGCCAGGTGAATGCTAACCTCACCCCAGAGATCTGCATAAACAATGCCTCCAGCAACAGCAGGCTGACAGCAAAGGGCAGGCAAGCCACAGCTGCAGATACCATTCTCAGAACTGTCTCCAGACTCTCTTCTCTTTTTCTCCCTACCTTTGATGAGAGAACAACTGAATTACACCTGCAAGTGGAAAAACTTACTGAAACTGTGTTGCATTTGAACTTGGGACACTTGGGGGTGTGTTGTGTGTGTGTGTGTGTGTGTGTGTGTAGTTTTGTTCTACTTTATGCATCCCCTTTGATGAGAACACAAACAACATCTGAGGCACCATCTCCAGGTTTGGAGACTGAGACGACACCAAATTATTAAGACTGAAACTTCATTGCATTTGAACTTGGAGTTTTTGGTTTTTTTTTTTAATTTTCTATTTTCATTTTGTTTTAATTCATTTTTATATATAGATATTTCTTTCATTTACTTATTTTTATTTTATTCTTATTTTATTTTTATTTTGATTTTCAATCCTTCTCTGTCTCTTAATGTCTGTTCAGCTTACTGTCGATTAGTACTAACACTCCCTGTTTATACTTTGAAACTTTCTTGTCTGAACCTTGTTCTGCTTTCTCCTTCTTGTCTGTATTGTGTTTTCCCTTTTCTTTAACTTCTTGCTTTCCATTCAGCTCACCCTTCCATTCTAAATATTACCATTGTTATTATTACAGCTAGAAAATACTTAATTGCACACAGTACAGGGACAGTAACAACACCAAAGACAATGATGGGAAGACAGAAAAAACAGGAAACCAGTTTCCCCACAGCAAAAAATTAGTACAGGAACCAGAGGGAATGAAGAAAACAAAAACTCAGATCAGACTCCAACAAAATGAAGATAAACTATGCCAA